CCGAGCAACGGAGCGCACCCCGCCGCGGGGATTCAAACCACCAACCTTTCGATCGGCAAGCCCTAGCCGCTGAGGCTTTTACCCACAGTGCCACCTGCGTCCCTATTATAAATAGGAATACATTTATTATCACATCGTCACTGGTCATTTCATTGTTTTATCCATTGTGTGAACCCCTTCGAAGTTCATTTCTTTTTTAACGATCACGCAGTACGTAACTTTTATGAAATAAACTGGTAAAAAAAGACCCGAAACAAAAAGATGAGGGACCAGAGAAAGGAATGACTCTGTGACAAAATGTGAAAGCCGCAGATATTGTGCACGTCCTGCCCAGATAATGCCAATTCCTCTGCCCAGCAACTCTTTATTTTATTTTTGTTTCATAAAATTTGCACATCGCTTGATTATAACAACCCTCAGATCAGCTTGCAAAAGAGATTTTGGAAATAAAGCTATTGCCAAGGAAGAGTAACAGTAATTTAAAACTTTCAAAAACTCACATCAGCTTTCTAAACAATCGAGCGGAATTGTCTAAACAAAAATGGTTTTTTTTAGCAGGCATCGAATTATATCATAGTTACTATATTTATTCAAATCCCACCTTTTTCCCAAACCAGGAATCGAGGATAGCAAAGGCACTTGCCTGATGTCAATAGGCAGGGAGTTCCACAGGGCAAATCCCTGAGCGCCGAGGTGTTACAGGCCTCGCTCCTGTCAGCAATTGTGCTGCAGCATTCCTTAACCACCGACAACCCCAGGCTGTGGCTTATGGGGCGGAAATCAGTGGCGGTGGCGCCCACAGAGACTGGAACACCATTAACTCCTCGTGGGTGCCCTTCCGCACCCCAAACCTCCCGTTTTTCTGCCGGTATAGGGCCAGGCTGACCCAAAAACGGGGGGAAAGGAGGGTGAATTTGAGGCAGGACGGGGGAACCCGGTTTGGATATGACTGACGCTTCCACCTGCTCAATCCAGGAGCTGCGGGAACGAGTCCTTCGTGGCAAATACCGCGTGCCCTTCTACATGTCCACGGACTGCGAGAACATCCTGCGACGCTTCTTGGTCCTGAACCCCTCCAAGCGCTGCACACTGGAGGTAGGGACACCTAAGATGGCTGGGGGGGGGGAGAGGGGCTTGGTGAGTGGCCATCGTGAAGATGGCCGGGGGACGGCGGCTGAGCCACGTCGCAGGGACCGGGGCTTTACTGTGTGGAAGAGAGAGAGGGAGAGATTCCTGCACTGAAGATTGAGGTTGAATCCTGACAAGACAGAAGTACTGTTCTTGGGGGACAGGGGGCGGGTTGGTGTGGAGGACTCCCTGGTCCTGAATGGGGCAACTGTGCCCCTGAAGGACCAGGTGTGCAGGCTGGGAGTCATTTTGGACTCACAGCTGTCCATGGAGGCGCAGGTCAATTCTGTGTTCAGGGCAGCTGTCTGCCAGTTCCATCTGGTACGCAGGATGAGACCCTCCCTGCCCGCAGACTGTCTCACCAGAGTGGTGCATGCTCTGGTTATCTCCCGCTTGGACTACTGCAATGCGCTCTACGTGGGGCTACCTTTGAAGGTGACCCGGAAACTGCAATTAATCCAGAATGCGGCAGCTAGACTGGTGACTGGGAGTGGCCTCCGGGACCACATAACACCGGTTCTGAGAGATCTGCATTGGCTCCCAGTACATTTCCGAGCACAATTCAAAGTGTTGGTGCTGACCTTTAAAGCCCTAAACGGCCTTGGTCCTGTATACCTGAAGATGCGTCTCCACCCCCATCGTTCAGCCCGGACACTGAGATCCAGCGCCGAGGGCCTTCTGGCAGTTCCCTCATTGCAAGAAGTGAAGTTACAGGGAACCAGACCTTCTCGGTAGTAGCGCCCACCCTGTGGAACACCCTCTCTTCAGATGTGAAGGAAATAAGCAGCTATCCTATCTTTAAAAGACATCTGAAGGCAGCCCTGTTTAGGGAAGTTTTTAATATTTAATGCTGTACTGTTTTTAACACTTGATTGGAAGCCGCCCAGAGTGGCTGGGGAGACCCAGTCAGATGGGGGGGGTATAAATAATAAATTACTATTATATTATTATTATTATTATTATTATTATTATTATTATTATTATTATTATTTATTAGGGGGTTGGACTAGATGGCCACTGGGGGATCCCTTCCAATCCTACGGTTCTTTGATTCCATAAGAGCCAGCTGGATCAGGCCCAATGGGGCCCGTCTAGTCCGGTAGCATCCTGTTCTCACAGTGGCCAAGTGCCCCCGAAGAACCTAGGGATCTAGGGAAGACTGGAAAACGTTTATTAAATACCGTATTTTTCGCACCATAGGACGCACTTTTCCCCCTCCAAAAATGAAGGGGAAATGTGTGTGCGTCCTATGGTGCGAATGCAGGCTTTCGCTGAAGCCTGGAGAGTGAGAGGGGTCGGTGCGCACTGACCCCTCACGCTCTCCAGGCTTCGCACACCTCTCCGCAAGCAGCGGGAGCGCTCCCGTTGCTTGCGGAGAGTTGCCTGCAAGCTGAAGCCTGCATGCGCTGAGCTCAGCGCGTCCAGGCTTCGCGGACCTCTCCGCAAGCAGCGGGAGCGCTCCCACGGCTTCCACAGCTCGAGCTTCCCCCGCCCCAGCCCCACGCCTGGGGGAAAAATAATTTTTTCCCCTTTATTTCCCCCCAAAAAACTGGGTGCGCCCTATGGTCCGGTGCGCCCTATGGTGCGAAAAATACGGTATATGGGGAATAACTGAGCACAGCTGAAAACACTGTCAGCATTGAGATAGATTCAACAGTTACGGTGGATGTAATAATGGAATACCGAATGGGATAGTTTCTGCAAAACACGCAGGGATTCAGGATGTGTAAAATGAACGATGGAAAGAAAGGAAGTCATTAAGGAGGTGAAAATGAGTGTTTTAAATGGCAAAACAGAAAACTGGATAAAAATTATATAAAATAAAAAAGATAGATTGCCTCTGGGCCATAAAAACATAAGAAATGCCAGCCCAAAGGGGGCCTTCTCTTAGTCCAGCATCCTATTCCCACATTGGCCAACCAGATGCCCATTATGAGAAACCCGCAGTCTGGATCCGGGTGCAAGAGCAACTCTCGCCTCCTGCCATTTTCCCCGCAGCTGGCATTCGGAAGCATTGACCCTGCAACTGCTGCTTGCTTTTTCTTCCCCGTTCTCTAAGCCATTGCTTGAGACGTTGCTCATTCCCTGGGGGAGAACGAGGGAGCGCAGCTGGTGCCCCCGCCTCCTCCGAGCCACAATTCCACAGACCTATTCTCCAGCCATCTTCTGCCCTCCAACCCGTTTCTCCTTACAGGAAGCTGTTGCTGCTGCTGCTGCGGGAGAAGGCCTTTAATTAGCTAATGTCTCCGTGGGATCTGGCCCTGCCCACCCGCCTCTCCCTCCCCCCCTCCCCCCACGGATGGCTGTAATTAGCCTAATCGACTCAGGGATAATTATACCGTGTGTCAGGGAGGCAGAGAGCAGCCTCAGCTCCCTGCCTGCCTGCCTGCCTTTTCCCCCAGCGTAGTTCGCAGGCTTCTGGGGGGGGAGATGCTGTGAGATGGGGGGGTGTGCCCTGAGTGTGTGTGGGGGGGGTCTTCTTCGCTGAGGGGGTCCCTTCTGGCTAAAGATGATCTCAGAGCCTCTGCTTTCCTGGATCCAGGTGTTGTTTTTTAAAGGAAGCTGCCTTACTCAGCGTCAGGGTGTTGATCCATCTTGTGCAATACGGTCTTCACTGACTGGCAGTTTTTAAGCAGAGAGCCTCTCCCAGCCTTTCCTGGATTTGAACCCAAGACCCTTCTGCTTGAAAACCAGATGCTCCGACTCTGAGCTGCGGCCCTCTTGTTGTTCGTTTTATTTTATTTAAAGCGAGTTTGTGCCTGGAGCTCTTTTGTGACGGCCAAGGGTGCCCTTGAGCAGGTGCAGAGTGCCTCTCCCTCACGGCTGAGCTTGTAGGAATTTGAACCGTGGTTCCCAAAGCGCAAGGGATACATGGGGTGACCTAGCAGAATGTTAAGATGCATGTTGGGTGCAAACAATTTTGAGGTGCAAACGATTTCGTAAACCTGCTAGCACTGGATCAAGTCCAACTGAATGAATTACTTCAACTGAATAGTTTTCACTGGGCTTTGAATAAGTGTGCAAGTAATTGTGGCTGTTCTGGATTTTATGGGGCTGTTGCCTTCCTTGATGTGCCATGCAAAGGGCTATTCCAAAAAAATTCTTTTTTTATATATAGGTTAGGGTAGAGCCCACTGGGAGTGAGTACGTGGAACCCCAAAAAAACTTAGGGAGCCACTGGGGTGAGAGAGAGGAAGGAGTTTCCAGGCATGGACGGAGGGTGTGCGTGTGTCTAGGCCTCCCCTTCTCGCCCCTCCCTTTCACGAACGCTCTTCTTCTCCGCAGCAAATCATGAAGGACAAGTGGATCAATATTGGCTACGAGGGGGACGAACTAAAACCCTATAAAGAGCCGGAAGAGGATTTCGCAGATGCCAAGCGCATCGGTAAGGGCGTGTGGTGTGTTTTCGCTGGGTATGAAACAGCAGGTGCTGCCACACTCAAAGACGGAGTTCTTGCAAATGTGGACCCTGCCACAGGGTTGGTTCTACACTTTGAAGCAGTTGGGGGACAGGGGGCGGGCGGGTGTGGAGGACTCCCTGGTCCTGAATGGGGCAACTCTTGGTGAGGGGGCATCATGAAGATGGCCGGGGGGCGGCGGCTGAGCCACGTCGCAGGGACCAGGGCTTTACTGTGTGGAAGAGAGACAGGGAGAGATTCCTGCACTGAAGATTGAGGTTGAATCCTGACAAGACAGAAGTACTGTTCTTGGGGGACAGGGGGCGGGTGGGTTTGGAGGACTCCCTGGTCCAGAATGGGGCAACTGTGCCCCTGAAGGACCAGGTACGCAGCCTGGGAGTCATTTTGGACTCACAGCTGTCCATGGAGGCGCAGGTCCATTCTGTGTCCAGGGCGGCTCCATCTGGTACGCAGGATGAGACCCTCCCTGCCCGCAGACTGTCTCACCAGAGTGGTGCATGCTGTGGTTTTCTCACGCTTGGACTACTGCAATGCGCTCTACGTGGGGATACCTTTGAAGGTGACCCAGAAACCACAACTAATCCAGAATGCGGCAGCTAGACTGGGGACTGGAAGTGGTTGCCGAGACCATATAACTGAGACCATATAACTGGTCTTGAAAGACCTACATTGGCTTCCAGGACATTTCCGAGCACAATTCAAAGTGTTGGTGCTGACCTTGAAGCCCTAAACGGCCTCGGCCCAGTATACCTGAAGGAGCATCTCCACCTCCATCATTCTGCCCGGACACTGAGATCCGGCTCCGAGGGCCTTCTGGCGGTTCCCTCACTGCGAGTAGCAAAGCTACAGGGAACCAGACAGAGGGCCTTCTTGGTGCCCACCCTGTGGAAAACCCTCCCATCAGATGTCAAAGAGATAAACAACTACCTGACGTTTAGAAGACATCTGAAGGCAGCCCTGTTCAGGGAAGTTTTTAATGTGTGACATTGTTGGATTTAATTTAATGTGTTAAATTGTTGGAAGCACAACAAAGATTAAATTGTTGGAAGCCGCCCAGAGTGGCTGGGGAAACCCAGCCAGGTGGGCGGGGTATAAGTAATTGATGATGATGATGATGGTGATATTGGGTGAGGTGATCTTGCAGGTAAACTGTTCCCAAATTGTTATGGGCTTTATACACCAGTTCCTATCCCAGGTTAATCTTTGTATAGAAGGTAATAAATAGTCCAGGGTAACCAAAGAATTTTGCAATGTGAGGGGAGCCCTCTGCCTGTCAGTTGTGCCTTTCAATCCCTGAGGAGTTCTTGTGCCAACCACCCTTTAGGTTTCCAGGATCTGGTTATCCTCAGCCTGGCCGCTAGGTGAAGAGAACTTACCATACTAAGGACTTAAAGCTGCAAATTTAATATTATCTCCCGTGAAAAAAATTGAGAAGAGCTGGCTCCGGGCATTGAGTGACATTTTGTCCGGGAATTGCTTTTTATTTGGACAAACACTCCCTCCCAGAACTCAGAGGGTCATCAAAACATAGGATTGTAGAGTTGGAAGGGGGTACCCAAAGGTCATCCAGCCCAACCCCCGCGATGGAGAAATCCTAACTAAAGCATCCATGACAGAGGGCCATCCAAACTCTGCTTAAAAGCCTCCAAGGAAGGAGGATGTGCCAGCTTCTGAGAGAGCCCGTTCCACAGCCAAATGGCTCTAACTAACCCTAAGAAAGTCGGGACGCGGGTGGCGCTGTGGGTTAAACCACTGAGCCTCTTGGGCTTGCCGATCAGAAGGTCGGCGGTTCGAATCCCGCGACGGGGTGAGCTCCCGTTGCTCGGTCCCTGCTCCTGCCAACCTAGCAGTTCAAAAGCATGTCAAAGTGCAAGTAGATAAATAGGTACCACTCCGGCGGGAAGGTAAATGGCGTTTCTGCGCACTGCTCTGGTTTGCCAGAAGCGGCTTAGTCCTGCTGGCCACATGACCCGGAAGCTGTACGCCGGCTCCCTCGGCCAATAAAGTGAGATGAGCGCCGCAACCCCAGAGTCAGTCACAGCTGGACCTAATGGTCAGGGGTCCCTTTACTTTTAACCCTAAGAAAAATCCATCCTAACGTTTAACCAGACGCTCCTTTCTTGCTATTTGAATCCGTTGGTTCGGATCCTGCCCTCTGGAGCAGCAGAAAACGCCTTCTAACTTCCTCCATCTGAGCCACCTTCCCTTGTGTCACGTAAGTGACTTAGAGCCTAACCTTCTTCGCCGTCTCTTTCCTCTCCCTGCCCAGAAGTGATGGTGGGCATGGGCTACACCCGCGAAGAGATCAAGGAAGCCCTGACCAGCCAGAAGTACAACGAGGTCACGGCTACCTACCTCCTGCTGGGCAGGAAGAACGAGGTGAGGCCCGGGGTTACGGGTGGGGTGGGGGGGTGTTGCGGGAATTTATGTCTAGGTTGGGGGGGGTTGCCCCTCCAGCAGATACCATGCGCATGCAGCCCACTACCAAAACCAGCACCATCGCTTTTGTGACTTCTGTGATTTGTCCCCACAAAACACTTCATCACAGTTTCTTCCTATTCCAAGGGCCTTTGCTGCACAATACCAAATGTAAGAATTCACTGATAAATGTATCTATGTACTGGCTCACTGGGAAAACTTCAGAAATTCATCTAGACATGTGAGCTCAGCTACTCAGCAGCCCCTCTGCCTGAGTATAATCCCTGGCATCCTGATACCTGAGTGCCAGAGACGTAGCCATTCCAGAAAGAACAAACCCAGATGAAGACCAAAGGGTGCAATTCACTTGGCTGGGAAACAGGGAAATGTAAATATCTCTTTTGTTACACTGGATGGGTGTTTGGTGGAGGGCAAGGGGAACCATGGGGCAGGGTCCAGGGTGCTCAGATTGCTGCCACCAGACCTCCCCTTTCATGATGTAACTGTGATGTAGTTTGGGGGGTGTAACATGGGGATGAGCAGCTAATAAAAGTTTGGGTTCTCTCTTGTTTGGGGTTCCACCTTGTTCCACCTTGTGGCTGGTGGGAGTTCTGTCGCAACAGTCTTCAGTCAAGACCAAGCCTACTGGCTGCTGTTTTGCTCTGGTATTCCTGGCTGGTGTCCTTGTTTTTTGTCCAAGGGAGCCCTCAGATTTCTCCGTTAATGGGGGGGGGAGCGCCCTCCTCGCCATGGACACCCATGCAAGGGGGAATCCTGCACAGCTGCAGAATGAGACCCCCAAAGCCACAGCGGAGGAGCAGCATCTTTGTCAGGACTGGCCCTCTCTTCCTCCTCCTCCATGAACCTGCCTAACCCTCTAGAAAAGCCACTTTGGTTGATTGCCATTCCTTCTTCCTGTGGCAGGGAGTTCCGTAGTTCAACTTGGTGCGGCACAAAAAAAAGGGGGGACTTCCTTTTCTCTGTTCTGAATCCTCCAGCATTCTGCTTTTTCCGGATGTCTGTGAGTTCCAGTGTCTGGAGAGAAAAGATATCCCCTCTCTCTCGTTTCCCCCATGCCGTGTGCTGATTTTTCCTTTTTAGAAAATTAGCTTTTATTAAATATTTTCTTGTGTAACAAAGAAAATTGCATGTAGCGCCTCTGCCTTATGCGGTTCGGGGGGGGGGGGGACAGAGGAGAGAGGTGGCCGGAATAACGATGTTTCATGCTATCATGTGACGTTTATGCAGGGCCTTTGTGTTAGTGTGATGTGGATAGGTCCTTGATTTATACAATGGTACCTCTGGTTGTGAACAGGATCCGTTCCGGAGCCCCGTTCGCAACCTGAACAGAACGCAACCCGCATCTGCACGGGTCACAATTCGCCGCTTCTGCGCATGCGCGTGACGTCATTTTGAGCGTCTGTGCGAGCGGCAAAACCCGGAAGAAACCCGTTACGTTACTTCTGGGTCGCCGCGGGATGCAACCTGAAAACGTGCACCCTGAAGCAAACGTAACATGAGGTATGACTGTATAGGGTGAGGCCCTGTGCATACAGAGTGCACATGTTCCATGTTCTTCTAAAAGACTCACCCTGTATATAGGTTGGCCTTGCAAGAGATTGGAGGATCCAGAGTTTTGTTGGTTACATCCAGTCGGTGGCCGTGCGCTTTGTTGGGTCAGGGCCTTACCGATTCATATGCTGTTTGGGGGCTGGGCTGGGGATAGATCATTGTCTTTTTTAAAATACCGTATATACTCAGGTATAAGCCGACTTTTTCAGCACATTTTTTAAGCTGAAAAAGCCCCCTTCAGCTTATACTTGAGTGAGGCGGGCGGCAGCGGGGGTCTGAGCAGCTCGAAAGGAGCTCTTAAGGGCTGCTTGTTCTTCCTCCTCCACTGCCGTCACCGCCAGGTTTGTGGTGTGATGAACTGGCTTATACTTGAGTCAATACGTTTCCCAGTTTTTTGTGCTAAAATTGGATGCCTCGGTTTATATTCGGGTCGGCTTATACTCTAGTATATACAGTGGTGCCTCGCAAGACGAAATTAATTCGTTCTGCGAGTTTTTTCGTCTTGCGATTTTTTTCGTCTTGCGAAGCACGGTGTCGGGAAAGTTTTGGAAAAGCTTCAAAAACCTCAAAAAGCTTCAAAAACCTCAAAAAAGGCTACCACACCGCGTTCTATGAGTTGCTCCTCGAAGTCAAGTCGCAACTGTATTATCGGTGTTACGAAAAAGGAAACAAACTTGCAAGACGTTTCCGTCTTGCGAAGCAAGCCCATAGGGAAAATCGTCTTGCGAAGCAGCTCAAAAAACAAAAAACCCTTTCGTCTTGCGAGTTTTCCGTCTTGCGAGGCATTCGTCTTGCGAGGTACCACTGTACGGTATATATTATTTATGATTTTCAGTTTTATACATTTAAATCGTTTTTCAATCAATTCACCATTTCAGAACTCGGCTTCCTTCCCCCTCTTCCTGCAGTTCTTTAAATTCATTTTTAATATTTCCCACGTATTCCAAATTAACTTAATTTGCTCATTTAATCATCTACTTTAAATATGTACTCTTACAAAACTGCTGGTTATTACAATAATCCCGCCAATGTTCTTTGCAGTTTGTTTGCAAATATTCCATTAACCATTTCCATTCTTTTATATAAAAAGCTTGTTATACAGTGGTACCTTGGTTTAAGGACAGCTTAGTTCATGGACAACTTGGATTAAGAGCGCTGTAAACCCGGAAGGAGGTGTTTTGGTTTGGGAACTTTGCCTTGGAATAAGAACATGTTTCGCTTCCTGTTGAGTGTGTTCCATTTGTAAATTGAGTCCCCCGCTGCTACGGGAAAGCATGCCTTGGTTTAAGAACGCTTTGGTTTCAGAACTGACTTCCGGAACGGATTAAGTTTGTAAACCAAAGCACCACTGTATTGATTTCTTATTTTTCCAGTAAAGTTTTGCCATTCCTGCATATTCCATAAGTTTTTGTATCCGTTCTTCTTTTGCTGCGACTTCTTCCCCTTTCCGTTTTTGGGATAGGTCGTTGTCTCGTTGTGCTGTGCATAATCTTATAAGCGTCTGCCGTGTCGCCTCCCTGTCTCCCAGCAGGTGGAAGGGGGCGAGTCTCGCACGGGCAGCAGCCTCTCACTGGCCCGGGTGCGGGCGCCCAGCGAGGTTTCCAACGGCACCAGCAAGTCCTCTTCGTCTCACTCCAAGAGCCAGCGGAGCTCCTCCACTTACCACCGGCAGCGGCGGCACAGCGATTTCTGTGAGTGACGTGGGCTCCCTTCCCTCCCTGCGCCCCCCCCCCAACCGCTCCGTCCCAGTCTGGTACCACCACCCAAACTGATCAGTGCAGGGCTGAAACGGCTCCTTGCTCCATTTCACGTGTGAGTCCCTAGGAGATTGTTGCAGTCCAGGGGTGTTTCGTGACACCTTGGTTGCCTGAAAGGAAAAGGGAACCTTCTTCCTCTTCCTCTTCCTCTTCCTCTTCTTCTTCCTCATTCCTCTTCTTCTTCTTCCTCTTCCTCCTCTTCTTCTTTGTCTTCCTCTTCTACTTTTCTTCCTCTTCTTCTTCTTCCTCTTCCTCTTTTCTTCTTCTTCCTCTTCCTCTTCTTCTTCTTCTTCCTCTTCCTCTTCTTCTTCGTCTTCCTCTTCCTCTTCTTCTTCTTCTTCTTCTTTTTCTTCCTCCTCTTCGTTTTTTCTTCTTCCTCTTCTTCTTCTTCTTCTTCTTCTTCTTCTTCTACTTCTTCTTCCTCTTCCTCCTCTTCTTCTTTTTTTCCTCTTCCTCTTCTTCTTCTTCTTCTTCCTCCTCCTCCTCCTCCTCCTCTTCCTCTTCCTCTTCTTCTTCTTCCTCTTCTTCCTCTTCTGCATCTTCTTCCTCTTCTTCTTCTCCTTTGGCGATCTCTCGTAGCCAAGTAAGATTGTCTTCCATAAACACGGTTTTAACAATGAGCCCGTAAGTAACTGTGGAGGCCAATTCTGGACCCACACATCCTTCCACAGTGGGGACATAGGTTTCCGGACGGGAGTTGCTCCTGGTGTGGATTTGTCAAGCGTGCCTTCCTCTTAGCACGTTTCCCCTTGCGCCCTGAGTTTGAGTGTCTTCAAAGCCCATGACGCCTTTAGTCAAGGCTGTTCTCCAACTGGAGCACTCACAGGCCAGTGTTTCCCAGTTGTCGGTGTTTATACTACATTTTTAAAGATTTACCTTGAGACGGTCTTTAAACCTCTTTTGTTGACCACCAGCATTACGCTTCCCGTTTTTAAGATCGGAATAGAGCAGTTGCTTTGGAAGACGATCATCAGGCATCCACACAACATGACCAGTCCAACAAAGTTGATGTTGAAGAATCATTGCTTTGACACTGGTGATCTTTGCTTCTTCCAGTACACTGGTATTAGTTCGTCTGTCTTCCCAAGTGATGTGTAAAATTTTTCGGAGACATTAGAAAATGCTGAGAAGGCAATGATCTAGCAAGTCAGAATAAGAAAGGCCAGGCTGATGGATCAGGCCAAGGGGCCCCCCTAGTCCAGCATCTTCTTCTCACAGTGGCCAAATGCCCCTGAGAACCTAGAATTCTAGATAGACTGCCCCTATTCGTTCATTTTTTTCCTTCAAAATATAGTCCGGCCCCCCACAAGGTCTGAGGGACAGTGGACCGGCCCCCTGCTGAAAAGGTTTGCTGACCTCTGTGGACCTAGTCCAACCACAGTGGCTCTCGCCTTGCTTTCATTTTCTGTGAACTAAAAGTTTCACAGAGTTGTTGTTGTTGTTTAGTTGTTTAGTCGTGTCCGCCTCTTCGTGACCCCCTGGACCAGAGCACGCCAGGCCCTCCTGTCTTCCAGTGCCTCCCGCAGTTTGGTCAAACTCATGCTGGTAGCTTCGAGAACACTGTCCAACCATCTCGTCCTCTGTCGTCCCCTTCTCATTGTGCCCTCCATCTTTCCCAACATCAGGGTCTTTTCCAGGGAGTCTTCTCTTCTCCTGAGGTGGCCAAAGTCTTGGAGCCTCAGCTTCAGGATCTGTCCTTCCAGTGAGCACTCAGGGCTGATTTCCTTCAGAATGGAGAGGTTTGATCTTCTTGCAGTCCATGGGACTCTCCAGAGTCTCCTCCAGCACCAGAATTCAAAAGCATCCATTCTTCGGTTTCCCAGAGACCTGCGTTCGAATCCCTGCTCTGCTAAGGAGCGCTCCTTTGGACCAGCCGCGGATTCTCTCCTCTGTGTCTCTGACGGCCTCTCTCTCCTCCTGCCCTCTCCAGGCGGCCCATCCCCAGTGCCCATGCACCCCAAGCGCAGCCCCACCAGCACGGGGGACGGGGAGCTGAAAGAGGAGCGCATGCCTTCGCGCAAGGCCAGCTGCAGCGTCGTCAGCAGTAGCGGCAGAGGCATCCCGCCCTCAAGCCCCATGGTGAGCAGTGCCAATAACCCCAACAAATCTGAGATCCCCGATCGCCGCAAGGACAGTGCCGTGAACACGGTGAGCAGGAGCGGGCTCCGGGGTCCCCCGGGCGCCCCATCCCAGTGACCCTCACCCGTGGGAAGGCAGGGGTAGGGGCCTGCAGCTCTGGCGTGGCTGGAGCCCCATCCTCTTCCGAGCTGCGTGGCAGAGAGAACGAAACTTTCCTCCCCTAAAGGAACATTGAGAGCCAGTGTGGTGTAGTGGTTAAGAGTGGTGGACTCGTAATCTGGTGAACCGGGTTCGATTCCCCGCTCCTCCACATGCAGCTGCTGGGTGACCTTGGGCCAGTCACACTTCTCTGAAGTCTCTCAGCCCCACTCACCTCACAGAGTGTTTGTTGTGGGGGAGAAAGGGAAAGGAAAATGTTAGCCGCTTTGAGACTCCTTCGGGTAGTGATAAAGAGGGATATCAAATCAAAACTCTTCAAATCCAAACATTCCTTTTTGTGCCCCAGAAACCCTTGCGGAAGCTGTGGGTCCTTCTGGGCGCTGGTCTGGCCTGGGCACCCCCCAGTGAGTTATTCCCAGGCAGCGGCTCAAGATGGGGGGAGGCATGGCTGGGTTCGGGGGAGAGGCAAAAGCCTCAAACTACCCTGGGACGCGGGTGGCGATGTGGGTTAAACCACTGAGCCTAGGGCTTGCCGATCAGAAGGTCGGCGATTCGAATCCCCACGATGGGGTGAGCTTGGTCCCTGCTCCTGCCAACCTAGCAGTTCGAAAGCACGTCAAAGTGCAAGTAGATAAATAGGTACCGCTCCGGCGGGAAGGTAAACGGCATTTCTGTGCGCTGCTCTGGTTCGCCAGAAGCGGCTTAGTCATGCTGGCCACATGACCCGGAAGCTGTACGCCGCTCCCTCGGTCAATAAAGCGAGATGAGCGCCGCAACCCCAGAGTCGGCCACGACTGGACCTCTAATGGTCAGGGGTCCCTTTACCTTTACCTTTACCCTGGGACCAGATTCACAGCACCCTGCAGTAGCCAAGTCTGGCAGGTCTTTTCTGGGAAGAAATATCTGTGTCTTGTAATGTGCGGCAACCCCACACGGGCAGCAAGCACGCATGTGCATAGCTGCACATGCACATTCAGGCGTGTCCGAAGTTGGAATCTGTCTCAGCAACAGCAAAATCCCTCTTGGACACACAGCCTTGACTTGCACCCCAAATCCCCATTCTGAGACGCCTGGGCATTTGGCTGCCTGCGTCCCAGTTTGGAGAGCTCTGAGCTGAGCCGGCGAAAAGCCGGTTTGCCGAAATGAGTCCGGCTTCTCAGAAGCTCTGTCTTGGGGGGTTTTTTGCCACCGTTTCTCTCCCGCCTCCGCCTCTTCAGCCTGGGCTCTTCCTCTCTCGTTGCAGAATAACATTCCCTCGAGTATGATGACCCGGAGGAATACCTACGTCTGTACGGATCGGCCCGGCGGAGAACGACACTCCCTGCTCCAGAACGGAAAGGAGAACAGGTATTGCCGCGGTTATTCCCCCAAGGTCCTAGGACAGGCTGCAGCAATCAGAACACGACACTGGGGGAAAGTTTCAAAACAACTTGGAAAGGCAAATGTACTCCTACAAATGTACGCCTTAGCTACTCTGTTCGAAATTTGCCAGGCACATTTTGCACCAGGCTGTCGGCCATTTGCAACCGGGTGCAGATGCCCAGGTGCCGGGATGACTGCTGACATCTCCACCCTCTTTAGGTGCAAGCTGGGAGCCCTTGACTATTGAGAGCCAGTGTGGTGTAGTGGTTAAGAGCGGTGGACTCGTAATCTGGGGAACCGGGTTCGCGTCTCCGCTCCTCCACCTGCAGCTGCTGGGTGACCTTGGGCCAGTCACACTTCTCTGAAGTCTCTCAGACCCACTCACCTCACAGAGTGTTTGTTGTGGGGGAGGAAGGGAAAGGAGAATGTTAGCCGCTTTGAGACTCCTTCGGGTAGTGATAAAGCGGGATATCAAATCCAAACTCCTCCTCCTCCTCCTCTTCTTCTTCTTCTTCTTCTTCTTCTTCTTCTTCTTCTTCTTCACATACTAGCCACACATCCTGTAGAATTTTATCGACACAATTGGAAGGAATTTCAGAAACCAAAATGGCTGTAATGAAAAATACAACTTTCCAGTCCTCTGGCTGAAAAATGGCAACTAGGCATTCTGTTTCGGCGGCTGTAACCCTGGTTTCGGAAACCATCTGGCTTCTATATCTGAATTTCTAACACTGCTTAGCTGTGATTTCTGCATTGCAGGGGGTTGGGCTAGATGCCTTCCAATTCTGTAATTCCATTGCTATGCAAAAATCTTGACATCTTTCCGCAGGGCCTGCAAGACAGAGCTGTTCCGCCTGGCCTTTGGTTTGGACTCAGTCTGACCCTTATGTTTCCCTCCCCTTACGGTTTTGACTTTTAAAATAAGGCTGCATTTTAAAATTGCATTTTAACCTGTATTTTAAATAGTTTTTCTTTTTCTTTTTTTTCTCATTATGTTTTTACTGAAATTTTATTGCTGTTAGCCGCCCTAAACCCGGCTCCGGCTCGGGAGGGCAGGGTATAAATAATAATAATAATATAATAATAATAATAATAATATAATAATAACAATTATTATTATTATTATTATTATTATTATTATTATTATTATTATTTATAGGAAGATTAGCCTCTCTTGGTTTCCATGCTCTTCCCGAGTTCTTCTGGCCTGGGAGCTGGGCTCTGGCCTCCCCCTGCTCACCTCTCCATCCCTGTCCCTTCCCACAGACTCCAGCTTGCTGCTGGATGCCTGCCCAGTTTCCACTGGTCTCGTTCTGGCTCAATGCTGCCCTGGCCCCAGGGAGTCTCCAGGCCCTGGTCGGTCAGCCGTGTGACTGGCTGTGGGAGAATCCAAAACAGTCTCCAGAGACCGGGGCGGGGGGGGAGAGAAGCGCTGTCTCTTTCAGCTCCTAGGAGGGTCCCTTTCGGCCTCCTCCTCAGCTCAGAGTATGGACCAGAGGAACTCTGAAAACAGACCTTGTGGAAGAGCAGAAGGACATTTCTATGTCTCTTTGGGGGGGGGCAGGCTGGAGGGGTCATTTTATCACTTTTCATTCCTGTTGTTGTTTAGTCGTTTAGTCATGTCCGATTCTTCGTGACCCCCTGGACCAGAGCACGCCAGGCACTCCTGTCTTCCACTGCCTCCCGCAGTTTGGTCAAGCTCATATTAGCAGCTTCGAGAACACTGTCCCACCATCTCGTCCTCTGTCGTCCCCTTCTCCTTGTGCCCTCCATCTTTCCCAACATCAGGGTCTTTTCCAGGGAGTCTTCTCTTCTCATGAGGTGGCCAAAGTATTGGAGCCTCAGCTTCAGGATCTGTCCTTCCAGTGAGCACTCAGGGCTGATTTCCTTCAGAATGGAGAGGTTGGATCTTCTTGCAGTCCATGGGACTCTCCAGAGTCTCCTCCAGCACCAGAATTCAAAAGCATCCATTCTTCGGCGATCAGCCTTCTTTATGGTCCAGCTCTCACTTCCATACATCACTACTGGGAAAACCATAGCTTTTACTATACGGACCTTTGTTGGCAGGGTGATGTCTCTACTTTTTAAGATGCTGTCTAGGTTTTTGTGACTCTCTCTAATTTGTTTGTTTGTAGTTAGGATGGGACTGAAGGATTGTGAAGGTTTGTAATATTTGGTGCTGTTAATTACGGACAGCAGGCAATCGTTTCTTTAGAAATATTCTATCATTTCTGTCCAAAGGAAACCCCCAAATTGATGGGTGACGCTGACTTCTGCCTCATATCTCTCTCTCTCTCTCTCTCTCTCTCTCTCTCTCTTCTCTCTCTCTCTTTCTCTCCCCCCCCCCGCCCCATACAGCTCTGCCACCAGTCGTGTGCCCCCTGCCTCCCCCTCCAGCCACAGCATCGCCACCTCGTCCACCTCCTCGGACCGCACCCGGCTGTCTCGCGGCACCAACATCCGCAGCACCTTTCACGGGGGCCAGGTGCGGGACCGGCGTGGGACCGGCGTTCAGAACGGACCCCCCACCTCGCCCACGCTCTCCCACGAAGCCACCCCTCTGCCTCAGAGCCGCAGCCGCGCCACCTCCAACCTCTTCAGCAAGCTCACGTCGAAACTCACGCGGAGGTGAGCGGGCGGCCGCGACAAGGGGGGCAGGCGGGCGGGAGAGCAAAGAGGGTGAAGAAATCAGGAACGCTGGTTGGGTGGTTGCCGTTCCCCGACTCCTCTTCCACCCACCCCCCAGTTTGATTTACAGCAATGCAGGGTGGATTTGATTTAAATCAAATTGATTTAAATCACTAGTCAGAAAGACTTGGTTTAATTCACTAGTCAGTAAGTCATGGTTTAATTCACTAGTCAGTAAGACATGGTTTAAATCACTAGTCAGTAAGACTTGGCTTAAATCACTAGTCAGTAAGACTTGGTTTAATTCACTGGTCTGTAAGACTTGGTTTAATTCACTAGTCAGTAAGTCATGGTTTAAATCACTAGTCAGTAAGACTTGGTTTAATATACTAGTCAGTAAGACTTGGCTTAAATCACTAGTCGGTAATACTTGGTTTAATTCACTAGTCTGTAAGACTTGGTTTAATTCACTAGTCAGTAAGACTTGGTTTAATTCACTAGTCAGTAAGACTTGGCTTAAATCACTAGTCAGTAAGACTTGGCTTAAATCACTAGTCAGTAAGACTTGGTTTAATTCACTAGTCTGTAAGACTTGGTTTAATTCACTAGTCAGTAAGACTTGGCTTAAATCACTAGTCAGTAAGACTTGGCTTAAATCACAAGTCAGTAAGACTTGGCTTAAATCACTAGTCAGTAAGACATAAAACGGCATACATGCATATATCTAAAAGCAAACAGATAATTACAATGATCAAAGCAGTAAAAATGGCATGGCGCCAGCCCTTTCATTAAAAGCAGTCAGTTCCCCAAAAGCCAGTTGGGAAAAGAAAGGCTTCACCTGAAGGACAGCAAGGAGGGGGCCAGCCTGGCTTCTCTCGGCAGGGAGTTCCAAAGTTGCCTGGGAGCAGCCACCACCGAGAAGGCCCTGCAAAGGTTTTGGGAGAAGGGGTCGTTTCCGATCAGTGCAGACCCTGCAAAACCTGAAATCCCGCAACGTCTCTTAGCACAGATGTTCTGGTGTGTGTGTTTGCTTCCTTGAAGGTTTTTGAGCAGAGGTTGGAAGGCCATCTGTCAGGGATGCTCTAGCTGAGATTCCAAGAAAAAAGCACACCAAGAACTCTGGCCAATGTAAGTTTCAATAGTGGGAGTGGTTCCTCCTCGCAAATCAATAGTCAATAGTAACAAAAAACTAATCCATTCAAAAGTATGTATTCTGACAAGGATTACAAACTCAAATAGAGATGACAAACTCTAACAGAGATTACAAACTCAAACTCATAAAGATATGTATAACACAATAGTTTGTTACAGAATTAGAAATAAGAGTTTATGAGTAGAAATAAGTTTATGTTAGTCCGTAGTCAGATTTGACGTGAAGGACTTCATAGAGCAGGAGTCAGAAGTCAATTATAGATTAGAAACCAGGACAGGGCCCTGTTTTGATGTATTCATCTTTATCAGCTGGAAGCATCAAATATTACATGAAAATACATTTAAATTCTAAATTATCATAAATTATAAAACAGGCATAAATTATAAAACAATACTATATAACATTTGGTTCCTTACCTAATTTTTAAAGGATCGTGTAAGTTTGAAGACTTTCGGATAAATATATCCTGTTATTTTCTACTGTTCTATAATTTATGATCATTTAGAATTTAAAAGTTTCTAATCTAATAGATTCTCTATTTGAGTTTGTAATCCTTGTCAGAATACATACTTTTGAACGGATTAGTTTTTGTTACTATTGATTATTGATTTGCGAGGAGGGACCACTCCCACTCTTAAAACTTGCATTGGCCAGAGTTGGTGTGCTTTTTTCTTGGTATATTTAATGAGAACTCCAACTTATTTATCGTTAGCTGAGATTCCTGCATTTCAGGGGGCTGGACTAGATGACTCTTGGGGTCCCTTCCAACTCTACAAACCTTTGATATTATGATTCCTCTTTTGGCTGCGCTGCAAGCCCTCCATGCAGCCGTCGTGTCGGTCGAGTCGCAGAACGGCTAGCAAAACAGGCTGAATCTGCCACAGACAAAAAATTCCTGCGGCCACGTTCATGGCGGGTGTTTTAAAGCCTCTTTAAACCGCCGCCGCTTCCCCCAAAGAGTTCTGAGAGATGTAGTGTAGCCTTCTTAGACGTTACCGACTGGTGGGGTCTGCGTTGCTCCCGGGAGGGAGAAAGGAAGTCAAATGACACCGAGGTTTGGTTCAGAGAAAGAGTTTATTCTGCTCTCCGGATAGCAGAAGGCACTTGCGTGGTCAGTCCACAGCAAGTCCAAAGAAATGAGAAATTTCATGCAGTATATATATCCTCCAGGCACCCTCTCCCCCCTTCCCCAGGAATCCAACCACGTCAGCTTATACACGTAAGTTGACATCCATGACCATAAACAGATGTTCCTGTTCCGGTACTCTTGACCATAAAAGGTTGTTCCTGTTCCTATACTCTTATCTTGGGGCAGGAGGTCACCAACTCTAAGAGCACTCCTGGCACCGTTCCCGGGTCTCTTGTCAGACCTGATAAGGTCTGTGCGTCTTTGTGTTCAGGATGTAAGATAAGACCCAGATGTGCCATCACTGCTCCACTCGGAACTGGCAAGGCCATCCATTGCCTTCACGGACTGATAAAGGAGAGGGCTTTGAGCACTTGTTTATACAGCTGGCTATCTGTTTACACATTGGCTCAAGAGCTCAAGTTAATGCATTTATGCTCCCTTGGAGGAGGAAAAATGAGGATTTTGGGTCCCGTTTCAGACTGACTGCACCCATTCCTTCAGTAGTTTGTTAAGTGTGACGAGATTTTGTTAGGGGGGGGTGTCCAAATTCCCTTCCCGGAGCTACCAGCGTGGTTTGATAATCAGATCTGACGAGGAACCCTGGGAATTGAAACTCCGGGACTTGGCTCTCTCGGCCCACGAGGTGCCGATTCTGATTCTTGCACTGCATCGGGGTTGGGCTAGATGACCTTTGGGGGGTCCCAGCTGTACGATCCTGTCCCCTCCCCCTCCCCCCATTTGGAGGCGTTTCTGCTGGAAGGAAGAGATTGCTCTCCCCACTAACCACAGCTGTCAACGTTTCCCTTTTTAAGGGAAATTCCCTTATTCCGAATAGGATTCCTCGCAAGAAAAGGGGGAAGTTGACACTAACCTCTCTTGCTCCCTTCTCCTCCTCCTGCTGCTGCTGCTATCGCTTTCCCCTCTGTGCTGGTTTCATTCTGCTTTTCTCTGTTTTCAGGGTCACTCTTGACCCCTCTAAGCGCCAGAATTCTAACAGGTGTGTCTCGGGTGCTTCAATGCCTCAAGGATCTAAAATCAGTAAGTCCGGCTGCCTTTTCTTCTTCCCTGGGGGTGCTGGGGGGACGCCTAGCCTGCCTGCCTCTAGCCCCCAGCCCCTTCCCCTCCTGCCTCCTCCCCACTTGCTCCCCCCAGAAAAAAATCCCATAAAAGCTTTTGCTTCCTTCTCGCTTGACTAGAAATCCAGAGGTTCCCCCCCCAAAAAAAGTGTGTTGTTCGGGGCTTAGCTTCTAACACGAATGCTTGGCGGGGTAGAAGGGGCTCCCCCACTCCACCCCCCCACCCCCCGCTTCCAATCCCGGAAGCCCCTCGGCCCCCTCGATCCCGGATGGCTGCGGAAAGGCGCTCTGCACGTTCTCAAAAGCACTCTCTTCCTTACATTCCAGGTCTGAGCTAAGCTCTATGGCTCCACCCCCTCCCCGGGAGCTCTTAAGCAAGGCTGGGTAAGAGCCAGGCCAGGAGGATAGCTGGGCTAGCCGAGAGATAGCGTGGTGTAGTGGTTAGAGTGGCGGTGGGAGAGAGAGAGAGACCAGGGTTCGAATCCTCGGCCCGGCCCCGCTTGGCCGTGAAGCTCAGGGCGTGACCCCCGGGCCCAGTCGCTGCTAGCCTGCCTCCCAGGGTTGTTGTAGTGGGGGGGGGTTAAATGAGGAGGCAGAGAACCGTGGGGTTGCCGCCTTGAGAAATAAATATGCAAGAAATAAAATAATAAACGAAGAATAGTTTGCACCACACCGTATCTGAGCAGCGCAGAGGGGCTTGTGAGACTGACCGAATGCCCCTTTACATTGTTGACACAAGTTCCAGGCTGGGGAGAAGGCCCTTCTCCCTGATGCACTGGCTTTCTCCTTGCGGTGCGTTCCCCTCCCCAAGCCCCAGCCGGTATCAGCCATGTGATCCCACCCCCACCCCCCAAATGCAGTTGGAAGTGGTACAGCCCTCATGCAGGCAGAAGAGCCCCCCTCCCCGGGGAAGGTCTCTGATGCAGCCTCACTTAGCTGCGATTCCCAGCCTTGCAAGGGGGTTGGGCTGGATGACCTTTGGGGGTCCCAACTCCACGGTTCTGTGGCTCAGCCAGGGAAGGTTTTGCTCTCTCCTCACAGGGAAGGTTTGAGGGCGGGGCTCTCGGTCCCTCCACCTCTCTCCCGGCCCAGGGTTCAAGGCTCCTCCGGCGGCTGGGAAGGGGGAAAGAGCCTGCCCACTCTTTGGCCCACCTCCCCACCCTCAGCCGTGCCTTCTTCATCGCTCTCCTCTTCTTCTTCTTTCCAGGGTCGCAGACGAACCTGAGAGAATCAGGGGACCTGCGCTCACAAGGTGGGTACCCGGGACCCTCGCCGTCAGGGTCATTCATTCTTTATTTATTTATTTATTAGAGCACAATTTTTATTAATTTAAAAAGGGTGGCGCTGTGGGTAAAACCTCAGTGCCTAGGGCTTGCTGATCGCATGGTCGGCGTTTCGAATCCCCGCAGCGGGGTGAGCTCCCGTCTTTCGGTCCCAGCTCCTGCCAACCTAGCAGTTCGAAAGCACCCCCGGGTGCAAGTAGATAAATAGGTACCACTCCGGCGGGAAGGTAAACGGCGTTTCCGTGCCCTGCTCTGGTTCGCCAGAAGCGGCTTAGTCCTGCTGGCCACATGACCTGTACGCTGTACACTGGCTCCCTCAGCCAATAAAGCGAGATGAGCGCCGCAACCCCAGAGTCGGCCACGACTGGACCTAATGGTCAGGGTACCTTTACCTTTACCAGCTTTTAGTACAGTTCCATGCAGTAGCTTCAATACAGGTGTACAGCAACAGACAATCTCATAAAGTTTAGTCAGTTAAAGAGAAAGATTGCAGGGGAGGGTTGTGGTTTTTTTCTCATTTATTTTGAAAGAGTAAGAAGAAAGCAAGATGAACTGGGAATGTATCAAGTTGTTTAAATCACAGTTCTCCAGAGCTTTTGCTTTAGCTTAAGCAAAACTTATGCAACCATACATTGTGACATTATGTTAGGGAAAATAGGGGGAAAACGTGGAATAGAGAAAAATTTCAGCAGGCATTAGAAAGTTGGCACAGAGGAACTATTTTCTTCTTCTCTTCTCCTTTTCCTTCTCTTCCTTTTCTGTTTCTTTGTTTTCTTCTCTTCCTTCTGCTTGCTTCTCTTCTGTTTATCTTCTTTAGTTTGGTTTTCATTGTATCTTATGTTAAAGACTCTCAATAAAATTGATTTTAAAAGAAAGTGGGCCCGCAAGGCGACTTCCAAATCTCTAGTGGCAGAGAGTTCCACGGAACCCGGGCCAGCTCCAAAGCGCAGCTGCCAGCCCACTAAAAAAAGAGTCAACTTCCTACAACAACAATAATAATAATTTATTATTTATACCCCGCCCATCTGGCTGGGTTTCCCCAGCCACTCTGGGTGGCTTCCAACAGAATATTAAAATAACCTATTAAACGTTAAAAGCTTCCCTAAACAATGCTCTCTTCAGATGTCTTCTAAAAGTCTGGTAGTTGTTTTTCTCTTTGACATCTGGTGGGAGGGCGGTCCACAGAGCGGGTGCCACCACCGAGAAGGCCCTCTGCCTGGTTCCCAGTAACTTGGCTTCTCACAGGGAGGGAACTGCCAGAAGGCCCTCGGAGCTGGACCTCAGTGTCCGGGCAGAACGATGGAGGTAGAGACGGTCCTTCAGGTATACTGGACCGAGGCCGTTTAGGGCTTTAAAGGTCAGCACCAACACTTTGAATTGTGCCCAGAAACGTACTGGGAAGCAATGTAGGTCTTTCAAGACGGGTGTTATGTGGTCTCGGCGGCCGCTCCCAGTCACCAGTCTAGCTGCCACATTCTGGATTAGTTGTAGTTCACCTTCAAAGGTAGCCCCAGGTAGAGCGCATTGCAGTAGTCCAAGGGGAGATAACCAGAGCATGCACCACCCTGGCGAGACACTCACAGACACTACAAGCGCAGAACATGTGTTAGGCGGCACCTGCCGATCACAGGGGCCAAGCGGGCACATGTGGTGTGTGTGCCCTAAACTTCTCTCTCTCTCTGCCCTCCTCTCCCCTGCGCAGTTGCAATCTACCTTGGCATCAAAAGGAAGCAGAACCCCGGCTGCTCCGATTTACCTGGAATGTGAAGCTGACCAGCACCCGCTCAGCCGAGGCCATTCTGGCTGCCCTCCGCCAGGCCACGGACTCCGCCAGCTGCTGCTGCCGCCAGACGGAGCCCTTCGTCCTGTCCTGCACCCACGAGAAAAGCCCCAGCGAGCACTTCTGCTCCTTCGAGGTGGAGGTGTGTCGCCTGCAGCGCCTGGGCGGCCTCCACGGTGTCCTCTTCCGGCGCCAGGCGGGCACCTCCCTGGCCTTCCGCACCCTGGTGGCAAAAATCTCGGACCAGCTGCAGCTCTAGGCCAGCGGCAGGGGAGCAGTGCTGGCTGGCGGGGCTTCTTCCTTCCGCGCCAACCCCACGGGCTGTTGGGGGGCCAGAGAGGGGGCGTGACCCTCGGCCGCCCTCTCTGTTGCGTCCCCCCGGGGGCTTTTATCTGGGGCCTGATCCTGCTGCCTGATAGGACGAGGAGCTGCTCTTGGGGGGCTCCCACCGGCCTGCCCGCTGCGCTAGGGGCTGTGGGGTTGGGGGAGGGGAAAGAGAGGGGGGCGTTGAGGAAAGGGGGTCATGCCAGCGTCACCGCCACCACCAGGGCCGGCTTCGCCCTCGCCACCATACCTGGCACAAGGATCGCCTCTAGGGGTGTCCCCGGATCGCGTTAGGGGGGTCCACAGCTGCTACGGGAATCTTAAAGGGGGGAGCTCTCTCTCTCGGCCTGCCTCCCTTCTTGAGGTTTTTTTTTTGGGGGGGGGCTTTACTCAGTTAACTAGCAGACGCATGGCACGGGGAGCCTCGAAAGCAAAAGAGGGGGTCTTTGGCAAATTGTGGTGTTGCAGACCCCTCTCCCACCCACTTTGCCATTGTAGGAGAGAGTGTAGGAACTGGGATCCCTGCAAAGCAGGGGTCTCTCAGAGACCCTTGAGACCCCCCAGGTATAGGTCAGTATATAAATTCAATAAATAAAATAATAATAAAAATTTAGCCCCCCCCCCGCCGGCCCCCTGCTTCCATCCATTGGCAAATGCTACACCCAGAAGTTGCAAACTTTCCCTCTTGCAAACCACTATTTCGGGTGGGTGTCCAAATTCCAGCTCCATTTTAGTATTTGGGACACAATTATGTCTCTGGCTGATGCGAATCCTAGTTCTTTTTTGGGGGGGCTGTTTGATTGCCAGAGAGCTGGGGGTGCAGCTCCCACCCGAAGCCCGGCAGCCAACGGCCACAAAGCAAAATCTGCCAAAGTGTCTCTGGAGTGGGGACCCCGGCCTTTAGCCAAACTTGGGGGGCAATGTTGCCAAAAGAGGATATCCTCTTGCCCAGGCAGTGGTGGTGAGAAGCAGGGGGAGAGTTGGGGGGTTCTGGGGATGGCGTGACCCCGTCTTGCCGAGGGGCTGGCTTGGCCCACGAGGGCAGTTTTGGGTCCCGGTCGGTGCTCAGCCCGCTGGCTGCAGGATACGGCTGCCGCCATTCAACCGGTGCAGCAGCCGTGGTGGTAGAAGGCCGCTGAGCTTCTGCTCCTCTCGGGGAGGGTGGGTTGGGGGGTTGGGTTTTGGCTTCTCCTGTTGAACTTCCCCTGCAGCGCACCAAGGCCTTGAGTGGCGGACCGGCCCCCTCACCGCCATTCCCCACCAGCCCCACATCGCTAGACTAACAACGACAACAACACACACTCGCAAACTAGAACCCCGGTGCTGAGACGGCCTTCTCGAGAGGAGGCTGGCCCTCCCGGCGGTCGCTTCAAGGGCTCAGATCCATCGTCCTGACAGCTGGGGCCCCCGCCAGAGCTGGTGCAATGTTGGGGGGGTTGCAGCTCCCCTCAGGAGGGGAGGGGCAGCGTCCAACCCCCTCCCCAAAGAGAAAAGGCTGCTTCTCGCACACCGGACAAACGGGCATTGCACACTGGTTCGGGCACAGCCGCCATGCTCCCTTGCCTTCTCTTGCTCGCCTGGGAAATGGGCTCAGCGGTGCGGAGGGGGCCTTGCGGCCAGCACCCCCCACATCCCGGGGCGGAGGAGAGGGGCAGCCTGGTCTGTGGTGGTGGGGCGACTTTGGGGGGGGGTCCCGGCGGAGCTCACGGGCAACAGTGGCGACACGAAATTTGGCAGCTCTGGCGGGGAGAAATTTTGAGTGGGTTTCCTTCCCCCTGCCCCCTTTTCCCCCTTGCTCCTTTCGCCTCACCCCACTTCTGTACACTGGGTCCCCCTGCTGTGACCTCCCCCCCTTCCTCCCAGACCCTGCCTCTTTGGGCGCACACCCCTCCCCATCTGTACAGACTCCCCTGTAAATAATTGTCCGGTTAGCCCCCGTTATCATTGGGTTAGCGATATTATTAAATGAGCCCACCCTTTAGCCTTGGGACGATTGTAAGTTATTCCGGCCCCAGAGCGACAGTTCTGTACCAAACCCTTAATAAACGTAGAAAGCCTCCGCCCGTCGTCTTCTCTGCCTCGTCCGCTCCCGAGCCGCTTCTCTCGTCCGCGGGGGTGGAATGGGGCTCGAAGCGGCCCTTCGTGGAAACTGAAGGGAACCCCAAAGGTCATCCAGCCCAACCCCACTTCTCAACGGACAGGTAGAGTCCGTGGAACTCACACCTTTTGTGTGCCTGAAGAGGTGTGTCTCTCTGTGTGTGTTTGTGTGTTGGGATCACTCAGTTTTGAGAGCAGCCCTCTGCCCATGTTCAGAGGTGCTCTGCTTCCTTCTCGTATTCGGCGTGGGGTGGTTGAAACAGGACTCTAATTCCAAGGAGTGCCTGAGAAGGACCTAGATCGGCTTCTCCTGCTCTTGCCCTTCTATGTCGGGGTACACTGCTCCTCTCAATGGAAGTTCTACTGAACCATTGCAGCTACAATAACCCCCAAGAGGCAGATGTGTGTTTAAACCACTTGTAGAGATGTCTCAGCCGGTGCCCAAAATCGCCTGCCATGGCAGCAAACTCCACAAATAGGTGCTGTGTTGCGTGGAGAAGGGCCCATTTTTGAATCTCTCGCTTTTGGGGTTTGCCGACCTGGCCTCCGGCAGGGTTACAAGACTTGCGGAGAGCTCCTCCAGTACGTTTGTGGGTACTGGGTTGAGTGCGGGATTGCCACTGGAGTTCCTTTGACACCTTGGGGACATCTGGTGTATGATGGGGAAGAGCTGAACTGAGACAAGGGACGCACGATGCCTGCTCCCCGGCTCACAGCCTAGTAACCCTTCCTAAACGTCAAGACGTAAAAAGCCCAGCCCTGTGAAACTCTTGACGCTGGTGATGGCAGGGAACGTCTGTAGGATCCTGACACTCACACCTTCATAATCTCTTCTCTCCAAGCTGGGCTACCCAGTGCCCATCTGCACCAGAATCCTCACCGAAGCCAAATGTCCCTAAGGACCTAGGAACCGAGATAGACTGCCTCTGGACCTGGAGGTTCGCTAGGTACATAAGGTCTACCAAAAAATGGCCCATGCAAGGCCAGCATTCACTTCTCACAGTGGCCAGCCAAAACCTGCAAACAGGTTTGCAACTCGTATCCAGAAGCACTGCTTCCTTGTTTGGTGGCAGCAGGCAATTCATAGCCCTTGTCAAAAGGTAAATGGACCCCTGACCATTAGGTCCAGTCGTGACCGACTCTGGGGTTGGGGCGCTCATCTCGCTTTATTGGCCGAAGGAGCCGGCATACAGCTTCCGGGCCACGTGGCCAGCATGACTAAGCCGCTTCTGGCAAACCAGAGCAGCGCACGGAAACGCCATTTACCTTCCCACCAGAGCGGTACCTATTTATCTACTTGCACTTTTGACGTGCTTTCGAACTGCTAGGTTGGCAGTAGCAGGAACCGCACAACAGGAGCTCACCCCGTTGCGGGGATTCGAACCGCCGACCTTCTGATCGGCAAGTCCTAGGCTCTGTGGTTTAACCCAAAGCGCCACCCGCATCCCATTTGCCTTCCCTGTACCCTTTCTTTAAAAAGGTAAAGGTAAAGAGACCCCTGACCATTAGGTCCAGTCACAGATGACTTTGGAGTTGCGGCGCTCATCACAGAATCGTAGAGTTGGGTCCCAGGGGTCATCTAGCCCAACCCCCTGCAATGCTTATTAAAAAATGCCTTTTTAAAAAAGAAAAACAGCACGAGAGACTCCTTTTGGGAGGAGGCAAGGCTCTGGGGGCCATAAATCACTTTATTAACTCCTTCCACTAGGACTCAGGTGTCACGAGCATCCCAGCTGCCCCGCCCCACCCCAGGCAGCCCTCCGCCCTCCTTCGCAAGAGAAGGGAGGGCGCCCAGGGACAGGGCGGTGGGTGGCCGGGAGTGGCAGGGTTGGGGTCACCCCCCCGGAGTCCAAGCCCCAGTCCATGCAGGGTCAGCAGGACGGCGGCTGCGGGAAACCTCTCACTTCTGTGCAGGGACCATGTCGTCGATGGCCTGGCCCTTCTCCAGTTTCTTCTCCATCTCCACCATCAGCTTCACGCCGTCCACCACCAGCTGCACCTGTTCCACCTCGGAGGAGCCCAGGCGGTCAGCGTTGGAGATGTCGAAAACGGCGCCCACGGCCTCTGTGTCCACACCACCTGCAGGGTTTTTTGGGGGTGGGGGAGAGAGTCGTCGTTACTTGGATCGCCCCCTCCAGACCCTCCGGAAACTGGAAGTGGGTTGCAGAGCCCATAGGGTGTGTTTCATTTTGCAACTTTCAGTTTCCAAGAAACGGGGAAGTTCTTGTAAGTCGCAACAAGCGACTCGGCCGTTCAAAATACTGTATTTTTTGCTCTATAAAACTCAGTTTTCCCCTCCTAAAAAGTAAGGGGAAATGTGTCTGCGTCTTATGGAGCGAATGCAGGCTGCGCAGCTATCCCAGAAGCCAGAACAGCAAGAGGGATTGCTGCTTTCACTGCGCAGCGATCCCTCTTGTTGTTCTGGCTTCTGAGATTCAGAATTTTTTCTTTTCTTGTTTTCCTCCTCCAAAAACTAGGTGCTTCTTGTGGTCTGGTGCGTCTTATAGAGCGAAAAATTTTGCTTAAATGGGGGGGCGGTCGTTGCTTGCCATTGCGCTATATATTAACATTTTTTATTAGTATTTAGCATTACGCGACATTTTCTGAAGGTAAAGCTAAAAGAATTCGGCTTTCTGGTTTATGCGCTTTGTCATTAAACCTTAGACTTACCAGGCTACATGGTGTCTGCGCTGCCACAGAAATAATAGCTGATCGGAATTCCTCACGCCCCAAAATGTGTTTTTAAGACTGCTCGCTGGAGAAATTTGCAAACATCTAGGTTCGCCCCCTAAAATTGCACACCCTACTGGGCCAGGAATCCGTTTAGTAGAATCGTAGGGTTGGAAGGATCCTCTAAGGGTTATCTAGTTCAACCTCTTGCAATGCCGGAATCGCAGCTAAAGAATCCCTGAGATATAGCCACCCAATGAAGGGGAGCCCATCACCTTCAGAGGAAGTCCGTTCCATTTGCCTATGGACACCTTTTGCATCACGGTGCTAAGATTCCCCATGGACACAATGCACACAAATGGGTGGGCGTTCCACAGGGCAGGTGCCACTACCGAGAAGGCCCTCTGCCTGGTTCTCTGTTACTTCGCTTCTTGCAGGGAGGAACCTCCAGAAGGCCTTCGGTGCTGGACCTCAGTGTCCGGGCTGAACGATGGGGCTGGAGACGCTCCTTCAGGCATACTGGACCGAAGCCATTGAGGGCTTTAAAGGTCTGCAACAACACTTTGAATTGTGCTCGGAAACGTACTGGGAGCCAATGTAGGTCTTTCAAGACCGGTGTTATGTGGTCTCAGCGGCCGCTCCCAGTCACCAGTCTAGCTGCCGCATTCTGGATTAGTTGTAGTTTCCGGGTCACCTTCAAATGGAGCCCCACGGAGAGTGCATTGCAATAGTCCAAGCGGGAGATAACTAGAGCATGCACCACTCTGGAGAGACAGTCTGCGGGCAGGGAGGGTCTCATCCTGCGTACCAGGTGGAGCTGGTAGACAGCTGCCCTGGACACAGAATGCAACAGCCCTTCAGATATTTGAAGAGGGTCATTGTACATAGGCGCCGACTCCATGGGGCTTGAGGGGGCCCGAGCCCCCTCAAAAATTCGTTTGGGGGGGCTCCGCCCCCCCAATAATCTCCGGCGCCCCTCCAGCAGAGCGCCATCGCCGCCCCTCCCCCAGCCCAAAATGCACAGGGAGGGTCGGTCTGCATGCCTCCTGCCCTCCCTCCCGAGCAAAAGCTCCACCCAATTTCCTTTGGCCAGATACCTCCTCACCTCTTTTACTCTGCTAGACCGGGTGCTCACAAGAGAGCAGCTGTGAGTCCCAGAACACCAGGACCCCTTCCTGGGATCGCTGCATAGCTGTTCCAGCGCCGGAGGAGGCCGTGGGGCCAGCAAGAGTGTTCCCTTACGTTCCCCCACCTGCCCCACAGGCAAGCTGGATACATTTGCATCAAATAGATATGAAACCTGTTTCATTGATAGAGAGTAGGGGGTGGGATCCCCTGCTCAGGCCCTGGGGATGAGGGGTTGAAATGAAGGAGGAGAAGGACCGCCCGGAGGACGGCCTTGCAGAGACAACAAAGCAGCCTTGTCGGGTGAGAGATACCTCAGGCGACCCCTCCGGGCCTTTCACCCCTCAAGCTGTTGATACAGCCGGGACTAAGAGGCCATCCAAACACCCCAAATCCCATTCACCCACGCAGGACGACGAGCCAGAGTGGGCCCCTCCACCTATAAACTCCCCTCCTAGTGATCTGCAGCGAAGAGGCTTGTAAACCCTTCAATGGAGTCCCGAAACCCCTCAATGAAACATCAGGATTTCTCAAAGAACCATCGCTGACCAATGGGCATCGTCCAAGGTGAGAGGCAGCCAATCCAAAGTCAGGAAGCAGCAGCCCCGTGTCTGGAGCGCGCGATCCGCCAGGAGAGCGCAAGAAACCGAGAGCAGAAAGCGGGGAAGAAGCGCGCTACAAAATGTAGCAACAGCGGATACAATGTTTCCTCCTGTTTCCTTGTTTCTTGCAAGACAGAAACAGAGGGCGATCCAGGGCTCCCCTCCCTCCCTCCCTACCTCCCTAGCAGAAGGTCCTTGGAGCTGATTAATAGGCGCAGCACGCTCTCCCCTATTCGCTCACGAGGAGGCGGCGCCACTTTATTTGCATATTCATGAGCTTATTTATTATTCATGAGCTTTCCCGGCCCCCCAATATTTTTTATAAGTCCGCGTCCCTGTCATTGTATTAGCTCTCGGCCATCTCTTCTCCAGTCTAAAAATACCCAGCTCCCTCAGGCATCCTTCATAAGGATTGGATTCCAGACCAAAGATTTATCTCTGCAAAGAAGCGCATTCCCCAGCCCCTTCCCCTCACCCCTCTGCCTAATTCAACATGCAGTCATTGAACTGTAAAGCTAGAGGGGCACACCCAGAGGTCATCTACTCCAACCCCCTGCAATTGCATGGCACGAGATGGGCAAGGGGGCCCCACAAATAACAGCACGAGCCTAACCCTGTCTACTCAGAAGTGCAGGGACTGAATCCCCGCCCCCCCGGGGCTCGCTCCCAGGTAAGTGGGGCCAAGGGAGCGATTAAAAATAAATTCAAGTCCCTAGTCCCTTTGAGGTGCCTCCAGCTTGTCTTATTTATGGAAATAAGGATGGAAATGCCCTCCCGCCCTCTCACCTGTGCCACGTTTCTGCAGACGGAGACGCGTGAGGATTTCCTCGAACTTGGCATGCTTGCTGAGATGGGGCAGTTTGACGTGGACACCCCCACGCAGCCCAGTGCCCAGGTTAGAGGGGCAGGTCAGGATGTAGCCCAAGTGCTCATTCCAGCTGAAGGGGTGGCCAGCTTTCTTGAAGATCTCCTCAATCTTCCCCGGGAAAAAGGAAAAGATGAGCGGGGTGTTGTATGGGGGAAGAGAGAATAACAATAATAATAATAATTTAATAATAATTTAATAACAACAACAACACGGGTGGCGCTGCAGGTTAAACCACAGAGCCTAGGACTTGCCAATCAGAAGGTCGGCGGTTCGAATCCCCGCGACGGGGTGAGCTCCCGTTGCTCCCGCCAAATAAGGGACAGTTGACAGATATGCACATATGGGGTGTGGCACATTTGGAGTGAAGTAAATGGACTTCAAGTTATTATGAACTACAAGAACGTTAACTCGGCAAGGAGGCACCTCGGGGGCCGGTGCATATCTTTGAGCACAGGTGCTTTGGGCTGCCAGGGCCTCACTCCTGCTAGCAATTGTGGCAAGCATCCCGGACCTCAAACCCAGCTCTGCCGGTCAAGAGGCAGAACTGCAGGCGGTACCAGCTCGGACACTGTCAACTGACCGCAGCCTGCCTGAGTCACCTGTGAGCCTGTCAGGTGCCTGCCAACGAATCGTAGAATTGGAATAAATAGTTGTTGGCAATGAGAATCATAGAGTTGGAAGGGACCCCCAGAGGTCCTCTAGTGTAACCCCCTGCGATGCGGGAATCACATGATGCTCCCCTGCCTGCCAGGGACTGTCGCTCTGGGCTACTGTTCTCTGCCAGCCCAAAACCCCACATTTCTCCCCACGTGGCCTCCTGAGACAGCCAGGAGCCCTCTCCCCCCCCCCTTCAAAGCAGCCCCTCTACAAAGCTCACCTTCTGCAGCCCGACGCAGAAGCGCCGGAAAACCTCCTTCATGTTGCCGCCCTTCTGCATGGAGATGACGCGGAGATGGTCCTCCTCGTTCACCCAGACCAGGAAGGTTTTGTTGTCATTGTGCCTGGGGGTGGGTGGGCAGAGGGGAGAGTGTGAACACCGCAGGCCTGAGTGCCTCAAACCTCTCAAGTGCATTGGAGGTACTGTGACAGCACAAAAGGGCATTGAAGCGCACCAGGAATGTCATTATTATCATTTACACATGACACCGGTCCTGAGAGATCTGCATTGGCTCCCAGTATGTTTCCGAGCACAATTCAAAGTGTTGGTGCTGACCTTGAAAGCCCTAAACGGCCTCAAAGGCCCAGTAGACCTGAAGGAGCGTCTCCACATCCATCGTTCTGTCCGGATGCTGAGGTCCAGGTCCGAGGGCCTTCTGGCAGTTCCCTCATTGCGAGAAGTGAGGTTACAGGGAACCAGAGACAGGGCCTTCTCGGTAGTGGCGCCCACCCTGTGGAACGCCCTCCCACCAGATGTGAAGGAAATAAGCAGCTATCCTATCTTTAAAAGACATCTGAAGGCAGCCCTGTTCAGGGAAGTTTTTAATATTTAATGCTTTATTGTTTTTAACACTTGATTGGAAGCCGCCCAGAGTGGCTGGGGAAACTCAGCCAGATGGGTGGGGTATAGATAATATATTAATAATAATAATAATAATCTTCATCATGATCATTTCTATCCAACCTTTCTACCAGGGTATTCGAGGCAGCTTTCAACAGAAGCTAGAAACCGTATGGTATGAATGCATTTTGCACTGGGGGTATGTTGTATGGTGGTGTATATATGCAAAAACACACATACCCAAACCAGCCCCTGCACGACCATCCTTACTTCGCAAGCAAGGCGAATCTGGGATGCTCTCGCGAGATCTCGTGGGCCCTCCAAATTCCCACCAGAGCAAGGCTTAGAAGCTCTTCCCGTGCCAGGAAAACCTGGTGCAAAAGGGGCTTTTAAGCTCTCCGTCTTGCATGCAATTAATCTCCAGGATTTCAACCATCCAGCTTTCAACCGCGTAAGGTTGAAACCGCATAAGATAATTGCACACATGACGTGATCAGGCGGTACGATGCAGATACGCAGTGCAACGCTTTCAAAAAAAGGGGAGGACACGTAGAACAGGGAGCCAGATGTTTGTATCGTTTGCAGAAAAAATGTATCTACAATTTTTTCCCACAATGCAGTTTGGGTGGCCTCTGCTCCATTAAACATTTTGCAAGCTGCGAAGGAAGGGCGTGAGAGGTTGGGTGGAGATGGACATGCCCAGAGTAGCTGGGGCAAACCAGTCAGATGCACAGGGTATTGTTCTTGTTGTTGTCACGGAATAAAAAAGGTAAAGGACCCCTGACAGTTAAGTCCAGTCGCGAACGACCCTGGGGTCGTGGCGCTCATCTCACTTTATTGGCTGAGGAAGCTAGTTTAACCCACAGTGCCACCCGCGTCCCTCAGTCACTGAACAGGATGTCCCTATGTTCATCAGGAAAACGTTGCGGGGCATCAATGTGTTGCTGCTTACCAGATTCCTCTGGCGTCGGGCCAGTCCCGGGCCATGCCTGAGGCGAGCAGGAGAGGAGAGACGGGCTTGTCGAAGAGGAAGTGGTCGTCAATGAGCTGCTGCTGTTCTGCATCGGTCATGTTCTTCAGAGGGTAGTACTTGCCCTTGAACTCTCCGGTCAAGCTGTTCAAGGCTGTGGAACAGGGGGAAAGGCAGGGAGGTGAGGTGGGGGGAGACACCAAGTGGAGGAGGCCATGCCTAGGCACTGACCATTTCGTAGAACCATAGAGTTGCATAATTGGGAGGGACCTCCAAAGGTCATCCAGCTCAACCCGCTGCGATGGAGGACCATTTGGACACAGCCTGCATGGCCCGCTTTGGAGCATGGGAGTGTGGAGCAGAGAGGCCTTGCAGCCACAACCGCCTAGCTCTAGCAGTCGCTGTCTCGCTATTTCATCCTGTGACACCCACACATTTTGGCACTGTCGTTTATTTCCCGTTTTGCTTTTCTCCCCCCAAGGTTCTACACTTAGGCAGGAATAAAAGATGGGGGGCGTCTGGCTTGCCAGCAATACATGTGGGAAGCATCTATGGGGCTTTGTGGACCACAAGCCAAACATGAGTTGACTGTGTGATGCAGCAGCAAAAAAGGCTAATGCTAGACATCACCTAGCCTACAAAGGTCTGTATAGTTCAAGCTCTGGTTTTCCCAGTAGTGATGTATGGAAGTGAGAGCTGGACCATAAAGAAGGCTGATCGCTGAAGAATTGTTGCTTTTGAATTCTGGTGCTGGAGGAGACTCTTGAGAGTCCCATGGACTGCAAGAAGATCAAACCTCTCCATTCTGAAGGAAATCAGCCCTGAGTGCTCACTGGAAGGACAGATCCTGAAGCTGAGGCTCCAAGACTTTGGCCACCTCCTGAGAAGAGAAGACTCCCTGGAAAAGACCCTGATGTTGGGAAAGATGGAGGGCGCAAGGAGAAGGGGACGACAGAGGACGAGATGGTGGGACAGTGTTCTCGAAGCTACCAGCATGAGTTTGATCAAACTGCGGGAGGCAGTGGAAGACAGGAGTGCCTGGCGTGCTCTGGTCCAGGGGTCACGAAGAGGCGGACACGACTAAACGACTAAACAACAACAATTCTCTGCTGCATCAACAGAAATCTAGTGTCCAGATCAAAGGAAGTCATTGTCCCGCTCTATTCTCCTTGGTCAGACTGGAGTCCTGTGTCCAGTTCTGGGTACCACAATTTAACAAGGATGTTGACAAGCTGGAACATGGGCAGAAGAAGGTGACAGAGATGGTCAAGGGTCTGGAAACCAAGCCTGTTTAGAGCAGTTGGAGATTTTTGGACTAGATGAGCCTTGGGTGTCCCATCTAACTTTACAATTCTGCTTTTTATCCTCAAAACAACCCTGTGAAGTAGACTCATTCACTTAGGGGAGGCTTTGCAGGCCACCTGATCCACATCCCTGATGTAGATCAGTTAAATGATCAGTTTTAAGAGGGTGACTGGCTCATGGTCACCCCAATATAAGCTTTTAACCGGGGGGAGATTTGAACCAGCATCTACCTGCTCATCGCCTGTGCAACACTGCTTTTGACTACAGCTCCCATCATAATGCTTTTGAATTCTGGTGCTGGAGGAGACTCTTGAGAGTCCCATGGACTGCAAGAAGATCAAACCTTTCCATTCTGAAGGAAATCAGCCCTGAGTGCTCACTAGAAGGACAGATCCTGAAGCTGAGGCTCCAAGACTTTGGCCACCTCATGAGAAGAGAAGACTCCCTGGAAAAGACCCTGATGCTGGGAAAGATGGAGGGCACAAGGAGAAGGGGACGACAGAGGACGAGATGGTGGGACAGTGTTCTCGAAGCTACCAGCATGAGTTTGACCAAACTGCGGGAGGCAGTGGAAGACAGGAGTGCCTGGTGTGATCTGGTCCAGGGGGTCACAAAGAGGTGGACATGACTAAACGACTAAACAACGACAATGAAAGCGAGGAGTGAGAGGAGTTGACCATTGGCTGCCCCATCCCACCTAAGTCGGCTCGTCCTGTCAGGGGTCGTTCCCAGCCCAGCTGCCGGCCAAGGCCAGAAGATGCAGAAAGTGATGGTGCAGCCCATCAACCTCATCTTCAGATACCTACAGAATAGGTCCAGAATTCAGGTGTGGCTGTATGAACAGGTGGACATGAGGCTAGAAGGCTGTATTATTGGATTTGATGAATATGTGAACTTGGTTCTGGATGATGCTGAGGAGATTCACTCCTAGACAAAATCAAGGAAACAGCTGGGCCGAACCATGTTAAAAGGAGACAATATTACTCTTCTACAGATTGTTTCTAAATAGAAATAGCTATTGAGTCTGTTTTGCTTATTATTTTAATCTTTAAACCTATAGAAGAAAATATGCAGTGGTTTAATGGTATCACTCCCAATTCTACCATTGGTGTCTGAAGAATGAAGCCAGTTACTTAATTTGTGCTTGCATAATTTTCAATAACTTTTCTACATTGGTGCTGAATTGTAGTTCTTTATAAATAAAACTTTTTGTTAGTAAAAAAACAAAAAAACCCACCAAGGTCTTAATATGCCCCCCTTATTGCCAAATTAAAGCATTTTTCGTCTATCTGTGTACATTCACAGCACATTCTGAATGGGGGGGCGTCTCTCCCAACTTTGAATTTTGGGTGTGCTTTGTAGCTGAGGGCATTCTCCCTCATTCTTTTGATTTGGGTCATATGTCAAATTTGAAGCTTCATGAACTGACATCTGTTAAAGACTGGATGCCATTGCCTGCTATTTACTAAACACAGAAGTAAACATCATCAGACCTTTGCCAAATACCTCATGCCATTGCATGTCAGCTCTCAAACAATTGAGACTGAAATCAAATGCTGCCCAGAGTCAGCAGATATTTGGCGAACGTCTGATGGATATTCATCCCAAAAGAGAACCTGAGCAGACTGTTCCCTCTTGATTCTGGAGGTTGCAAAAAGCCCTCTTTAACTGCACTTCAAACTTAGAATTTCTTCTTCTTGTAATCTAGTTTGGCCCTGCAAAGGCTTTTCAAAAAAGGTACCCTAAACCTACAGTTCCCAGGCCTCCTTAGGAAGAAGGAATGACTTAAATTAGTGTAAATAGTGCAGAAATGGCCCAAAATTAAGGGGAATGCACTGATCTTTCAAAGAGAGAGCCCTTAAGACATTCCTGGTTCCTCTTGTCACCTTAAGAACATAAGGAAAGCTGGCTGCATCAGGCGAAGGGAGTTCAAATACTCCAGCATCCTGTTTCCCCCCACAGGAAACCTACCAGCAGGATTCGAACACAAGAGCACGCTTCCCTCCTGCGGTTTCCAGCCCCTGGTATTCAGGAGCACTGCTGCCTCCAGCTGTGGGGGCCAGAGCCCAGCCATTGTGGCTGACAGCCCTCTCCTTCTCCCTGAATTTGCCTAATTGTATTTCGAAGCCATCCTGTGGCAGGGAGTTCCGCAGTTCAACTCTTGCGCTACCCAAAGAAGGAATCTGTTTTGCCCGGCGCGATTCTTCCCGTCTTACCAGTGATGGAGAGATTCTCAACAGCCCGGCGCTCTCCACGGCTGCAGTGGGGGGGCAGGGTGTACCCCTTGATGCTGCGCCCAGTCCTCACGCGGCTGCTGAGAACATAGTTGGGGTCCAGGTCATCTCCACCCTGTGGGGAACAGAGAGGCAGAGGCCTGCCGTGAGTTGGCCAGGCAAGCCCCCGACACACTTGCCTTTCTCACGAGCACGGCGGTCCTTCCCCGTTCCGTGCGAGCGTCTGAACCTGCCCCCCTCCCAAGTCAAACCACGAATCTGTCAGGCACAGTGCCGTCACTTCCAGCCTTTGCCAACCTGGCGCCCTCCAGATGTTTGGGGCAGCAGGTTGGCAAAGGCGGGTCTACTCTGACTGGCAAGAAGAGCCTGGCTGCTGGATCGGGGCAAACGGGGCCCATCAAGTTTTGGTGGCCATCCCTGCCTCTTGTGGGAGGGAGTTCCACAGGCTAACTCGGCCTCTGTACTTCTTTTTATCTGTCCTGAATCCAGGTTGATCGTTGTCGCTGCCTCCTGTGCAGGTGAGTTCCCTTGTTCAGGGAACCAGGCACTGGGGGGGGGTTAAAATTTGCGTGTCCAAAGCATGGGCGCCCCTATAGAACTACGGCCCAGCCCTCCAGCCCCTCAGCCCTGGCCAGTCCTGGTTCCTACCTTCAGGTTCTCGTGGTTCAGGTCGGTCTTATGCTTGTCAGTTGGCTTGTAGCCGCCATGACGGTCCCGGATGACAGGATCAAAGAGTCCGCCGAATACAGTATAGCTCTCTTCATCACCAGCCACACAGCCCACGGTCATGATGTAGGGGTGGCCTGTGTGTGAACGAGGGGGGAGACGTTAGATTAGGAGAAGGGCGCCTGAAGCACCGTTCTTCATTGATGGCCATCTGCCAGCGATTATTTTAGCTTTGATTCTCTCGTTGCAGGAGGCTGGAGTACATGACCCTGGGGGGGGGGGGAGCGAGTCCCTTCAAACTTTACAATTCTATAATTCATAAATAATATGATCAGGGACATATTGCCCTGCCCCTTAAAAAACGGATGACTCCCAGAGGCCTGTGGGAATGGGATTAGAGTGCTCAAAGTGGGAGATTGGCGGGTATGACCAGTGGGGTGCTCTCTTTGGCAAGCCTTGTTGAAAAGGAACAGGCGCTGCACGTGAGATCTCACTCTGCAGGGTCAGGGAATCGTAGAATTGTAGGCTCCTGTGTTAAGAGCTCAAGCTCATTTTGCTTATTTCCCATGCTCTGTGCATTAGTATAGAGACAACCAAAACCGCAAGTATTTCCCTCCAGTGTCTTTTCCATGCTATGATGCAATTGTTTTCATAACGTTGTTTCTTTGTTGTAAGCCGCTTTGAGCATGATTTTTGCTGTGTGTGTGTGTTTGTGGAAAAATTGCATACAAATGAATTAATGAAGCCTGCGTCTCTGCTGGAGACATGCAGAATTATACTCAGGGTTTTATGTGCACCCCCCACAAATTGAACCCAGCAAGGGGACTTGGCTATTTAATCCAGGAGTGGTCAGCTGGAAACCAATTCCTGTGGTTGGCTTGAAGTCAACACTCCCAGTAATATTTGCAACTTGCAAGAGGTTTGTTTGGGCTTTTGTATGCAATATGTGGGTCCTTGTATTCATACTACAGCTGGGGACCTGATTTGATAAATTGTTATGGTCTAATCTTTTCTCAAGGGACGCGGGTGGTGCTGTGGGTTAAACCACAGAGCCTAGGTCTTGCTGATCAGAAGGTCGGCGGTTCGAATCCCCGCAATGGGATGAGCTCCCGTTGCTCAGTCCCTGCTCCTGCCAACCTAGCAGTTCAAAAGCACGTCAAACTGCAAGTAGATAAATAGGCACCGCTCCGGCGGGAAGGTAAATGGCGTTTCCGTGCGCTGCTCTGGTTCGCCAGAAGCGGCTTAGTCATGCTGGCCACATGACCCGGAAGCTGTACGCCGGCTCCCTTGGCCAGTAAAGCAAGATGAGCACTGCAACCCCAGAGTCGGCCACGACTGGACCTAATGGTCAGGGGTCCCTTTCCCTTTAATCTTTTCTCAGTTAGGAACCTAGGAAGCTGTCTTATGTCAAGTCAGACCCACTGACCCATTGAGCCAAGTGTTCCCAACACTGACTGGCAGCCCAGCTCTCCAGGGTTTCAGAAGGGTGACATTGCCAGGGCCATAGCTGCCAACCGTCCCTTATTTGGCGGGAAAGTCGCTTATCCCAGAGCCATGTCCCGCTGCTGTCCCTTATTGATGATGTCCCTTAAATTTCCCGGGTTTCAAAGGAAGCAGCTCCTCTCCCTACCTGCCTGCCGGCCAGGGAGGAGGGAGGCTCCAACTGTGTTGCTTGGCTGCGTTGCTCACCCAATAAGGAGCATGAGAATGACTGGTGGGTGGAGCTTGCATGCCTTGTGCCGATCAAATCGGCCGCATTGCCTGGGGACTCGCCTTTGCTCAGCGCTTCCCAGCGGAGAGGTGACAGTGGTTTTCCTTGCTGCATCCCCTTTGCTGGGTTGCTGCGCTGTGGGAACCACCGCTTGAGGCTTCGTTTGGCTGCTGGTTGACTAAAATCCCTTATTTGGCTGCTGATCCCTTATTTTCGAGGCTGCTGGTCCCTTATTTTCAAATCTGTAAGTTGACAGCTATGGCCAGGGCTCCCAGGCAGATGTTCTGCCACAGGGACCTTCCAATTAACTCTCCACGGGAAAAGGGGTTGTTCTGAATTACAAGTGCTATTCCTCCATTGCAACGGGTTGGACCAGATGACCTTGCGATCCCTTCCAGCCCTGCCCTCCTGCGATTCTCATGCCTTGCTACTCTTTCTAGCTGCTGGGGCTCAAAGCAGGCTGGACTCTGGACTCTTTTGTTTCCTCCCCCTTCCCTGCCCCCCCCCCTGCGGACTCCACACCCCACTGTGTGGCAAATGCATGTAAAATTATGCAAACTGGCCACCAGAGGGAGATGGCAAGCTGGATTGGGGAGAAATTGCATGCCTGTCTTTGGAAGAAGAAGAAGAGGAGTTTGGATTTGATATCCCGCTTTATCACTACCCGAAGGAGTCTCAAAGCGGCTAACATTCTCCTTTCCCTTCCTCCCCCACAACAAACACTCTGTGAGGTGAGTGGGGCTGAGAGACTTGAGAGAAGTGTGACTGGCCCAAGGTCACCCAGCAGCTGCATGTGGAGGAGCGGGGAATCGAACCCGGTTCCCCAGATTACGAGTCCACCGCTCTTAACCACTACACCACACTGGGTGACATCTTTGCTTTAGTGTTTGGTTCGTCCAAGAGGGAGCACCCACCTGGGTTGTCCACACCGGTCTGGATGCAGTCGTCCAGGGTGAAGCCGCTGGGAGTCTCCTTGCCACGCAGCTGTTCGTAAAGCTCCTTGGTGAGGACCTTCGCCATGTGGTTGTTGTGTTTGGAGAGGTCAGGGTACTCCTCATCACACTTGTAGTTCATCTTGTACTTGTTGTGGGTGTTTCCGAAAGGCATGGTGGCGGGTGGCGGGGAGAGTCCTGTGGCAAGAAAGGAGGGCGCAGTGTTGGGGGCTTTTTAAGTTTGCAGGTAGGTGCAATAGGGCTTTATAAAAACTACCGTATTTTTTGCTCTATAAGATTCACTTTTTTCCTTCTAATAAGTAAGGGGAAATGTGTGTGCGTCTTATGGAGCGAATGCAGGCTGCACAGCTATCCCAGAAGCCAGAACAGCAAGAGCGATTGCTGCTTTCACTGCACTCTTGCTGCACTCTTCTGTTCTGGCTTGTGAGATTCAGAATATTTTTTCTCTTGTTTTCCTCCTCCAAAAACTAGGTGCGTCTTGTGGTCTGGTGCGTCTTATAGAGCGAAAAATACGGTATGTGTGGCATGGAGATAGCAGAGAGAGAGAGAAGTTTTTCCACCCCGCAAGGTAAAGGTAAAGGGACCCCTGAGCATTAGGTCCAGTCGTAGCCGACTCTGGGTTTGCGGCACTCATCTCGCTTTATTGACCGAGGGAGCCGGCGTACAGCTTCCGGGTCATGTGGCCAGCATGACTAAGCCGCTTCTGGCGAACCAGAGCAGCGCACGGAAACGCCGTTTACCTTCCCGCCAGAGCGGTACCTATTTATCTACTTGCACTTTGATGTGCTTTCAAACTGCTAGGTGGGCAGGAGCTGGGACCGAGCAACGGGAGCTCACCCTGTCGCGGGGATTCGAACCCCCAACCTTCTGATCGGCAAGCCCTAGGCTCTGTGTTTTGGACCACAGTGCCATCTGCATCCTCTCGCCATAACACAATGAGGCTGAGTGTTGGACGATTTGGGACGGAGGAAAGAAAGTCGTCCTTCGTACAGCACATAGTTAATCTATGGAACTCTCTGCTGCAGGAAACAGCAACAGCCACAAACCTGGATGGCATTAAAAGAGGATGGGGAAAATTCATGGAGGAGGAGATGCCTATTGATATCTATTCGCCATAGCAGTTATTCCACCGTTGGAGGCAGCAGTGCTCCTGAATCCCAGCTGCTGGAAACCACAGGAGGAGAGGAGAGGGCTCTGCGTTCGAATCCTGTTTGCAGGTTCCCCAGAAGAAGCATCTGGGATGCTGGACTTGTTGGGCCGTTGGCCTGAACCAGCAGCCAGGCTCTTCCGAGGTTCTTAATGAGGGGCCTATCCCCTTTCTCCACCTCCTTCGTAATTTGCCCAGCCATTTTTCTTGAGATCTGGGAACTTGAAGCGTGCAAAGCACATCGGCAGCCCCTGTGGCAAGGGCCGTTCCATGGGTCAGAGCTTATTCTAGATATGCATTATTATTATTATTATTATTATTATTATTATTATTATTATTATTCTCCTTGCACAAGTCACCCAGCCTTTGCTGGAGAGTGGAGAGTTCCCAAGGTGGCGAGGAATCCCATTCCCAGCTCTGCGGCCTGTCCGTATGGAACCCATATGGAGAGGTCAAGAGGGCCCCCCTGGGTGCCAAGTGGGTGGGGAGGTGTGGGGCAGGGGTGTGTGCAGGCTCCAGCACTCCTATCTAGTTGCCGCTGGTGGAGAGCCAGGGATAATTTTAGCCCTCGGCCCCTCGGAAACCGGTTTATTTATAGCAACTTTCTTGTCCACAAAAGGGCCCCCGATGGCGTGGAAGAACATTTTGGCTGCCAGCTCAGCTTGCATTCCTGCGGCTACTTTTGCAAAGTGTCAGCGGTCCCCGGATCCAAGTGCCCAGCGAGGAATCCAATCTCCTGGCAGGGTGAGGGGGGTGGGGAGGGAAGCGGGGAAAGCACTCTGCATGCAGCAAGGGAGGAGAGAGGGGGAGAGTTTGGCAGGCGCTTGCAGGAGGGCTGGCCAATGGGCGCATGCCAGGGTCTTCCTGGACCTCCTCTCCTGCCCGCAAACAGCAAGGACGCCCGTCTAGGGCACTCAGCAAGGTCATTGCAAGGTTTGGGGTCACTGGCGCCATTTGGGGCCGTCCGAAAAGAAGGGCAGCTCTAGGAGCCTGGCAACCCTATACTTGGCCATTCTAGGGGGCAAAGCACCGAAGCAGATTGCTGGAGTAGGGGGCACCTGCTGGTGCCCCAAATTCTCTGGACTGCCACCCACGCTCCCCATCCACTTGATAGATCAAATTCCAGATTTTTAAAAATCTGGCCTGCTTTGTAGGCACCGCACCTGCAGCTGTTGCTGCCCGTTTCTCTATCCTCCTTCTCCCACCCCACGCGCCCAAATCTGGGAACCAGAGACGGCTGTTACCTGACAGGGAGAATCAAATCCTGCAAAATCCCCAGGGGCTTGGCGCTGCCTTGTCTCACTCCAGCACAACAGGTGACCCGAAAGCCTGGCTCAAGGACCTAGACATATATACCCTGTGCCCCGCTGCCATTGGTCCAACACTGACAAGCAGCCAGCCTCTGATTGGGCATTGCTTCCCTGTCCCCGCTTGAAATTTGGGTCGGGAGCTTTCTTCGCCTCCGTCCCCTGATGGAGCACAAGCGTCTCCTGCAGGGCTCTCCTTTCCCCCCTAGAGGCAAAGCTCAGCCCCAGGTCCTGCTTCCGCAATTCAGGGCCCCAAAATACGTGAAGCGAGTGGATTGGAGCATGTGCAGAGTGCTCCTTCACAATGTGTCGGCACCAGGACCTGGCTCTTCTTATGTGATCAAAGTGCAAAAGAAGAGGCTGCTGGATCGGGCCCATCTAGTCCTCCAGAATCCTGTTCTCAAATAATACCCCTAAGAACCTGGGAATCTGGATAGACTCTCTGGAGCTGGAGGTTATAATAATAATAATTTAATAATAATTTATTATTTATACCCCGCCCATCTGGCTGAGTTTCCCCAGCCACTCTGGGCGGCTTCCAATCAAGTGTTAAAAACAATACAGCATTAAATATTAAAAACTTCCCTGATCAGGGCTGCCTTCAGGTGTCTTTAAAAAGAATATAGCTGCTTATTTCCTTCACATCTGGTGGGAGGGCGTTCCACAGGGCGGGTGCCACTACCGAGAAGGCCCTCTGCCTGGTTCCCTGTAACTTGGCCTCTCGCAGTGAGGGAACCGCCAGAAGGCCCTCGGAGCTGGACCTCAGTATCTGGGCAGAACGATGGGGGTGGAGACGCTCCTTCAGGTATACTGGACCTAGGCCGTTTAGGGCTTTAAAGGTCAGCACCAACACTTTGAATTGTGCTCGGAAACGTACTGGGAGCCAATGCAGATCTCTCAGAACTGGTGTTATGTGGTCCCGGCGGCCACTCCCAGTCACCAGTCTAGCTGCCGCATTCTGGATTAGTTGTAGTTTCCGGGTCACCTTCAAAGGTAGCCCCACGTAGAGCGCATTGCAGTAGTCCAAGCGGGAGATAACCAGAGCATGCACCACTCTGGCAAGACAGTCTGCGGGCAGGGAGGGTCTCAGCCTGCGTACCAGATGGAGCTGGTAGACAGCTGCCCTGGACACAGAATGGACCTGCGCCTCCATGGACAGCTGTGAGTCCAAAATGACTCCCAGGCTGCGCACCTGGTCCTTCAGGGGCACAGTTGCCCCATTCAGGACCAGGGAGTCCTCCACACCCGCCCGCCCCCTGTCCCCCCAAAACTGTACTTCTGTCTTGTCAGGATCCAACCTGAATCTGTTAGCCGCTATCTATAAGAACATAGGATGAGCCTGGCTGCTGGATCAGGCCAATGGCCCATCTAGTCCAGCATCCTGTTCTCTCAGGGGCCACCCAGATGCCTGGATCCTCGCGAGCAGGATTCAAGCACAAGAAACCTCTCCCTGGGCCAAACCCTGCTGAATCAGACAAATGGATTCATCCTGGCATCCTGCTTCTGCTATCCAGATGCTTCAATGAAGTTCAGAACACGATGGTGACAAGAGCCCATCCATCCCTAGAAATTGGTATTCAGAGCTAGACCGCCTCTGAGCATGCAAAGAGGCCTGTGTCTGATCCTGCACCCTGTTCTCAAAGTGGCCACCCAGATATTCCAACAGGAAGTGCACCAACGGGGCCTGAGTGGATCTGCAGCCCTCTCCCCACTTCTGAGACCCCTCAGTGGGTATTCAGAGGCGTGCCTTCTCTGAACTCAGCCATCCTGCCTAGTAGCCCTTTTCTCTGCCGTAAATTGGTCCAACCATCTTTTAAAGCCATACGAGATCCTGCAGCAGGGAGTTCCACTGTATAACTCTGCACTGTGCGATTTCTAACAGTTGAAATGAGGTTGAGTCGAGGATAATTTTTTGTAAAGCGTTTAAAAAATTTTTTTTGGCAATCTTTTATTTTTTGCGTAAAGGACGTCGAGAACATCCAAAGTGTTCTGGCGAGAGATGCCAGCTTGACTCCTGCCAGTGAGCGCTGGCGGTTGAGAACAAACCCTTGGATCCTGGAAACGGAAGCTGTGAATGCACAGAACTGGGCAAGTTTTAATTTAGTTTCCGTGGCAGGTTGCTACCGTATTTTTCGCTCTATATGACGCACCAGACCACAAGACGCACCTAGTTTTTGGAGGAGGAAAACAAGAAAAAACATATTCTGAATCTCAGAAGCCAGAACAGCAAGAGGGATCGCTGCGCAGTGAAAGCAGCAATCCCTCTTTCTGTTCTGGCTTCTGGGATAGCTGTGCAGCCTGCATTCGTTCCATAAGACCCACACACATTTCCCCTTACTTTTTAGGAGGGAAAATGTGAGTGTTATAGAGCAAAAAATACAGTATCTTACCTCTTTTCCTTCTCCTTTCACTTGAATTTCTTTATTGCCTTCTTTTAAGTTACAAACATGTCTGTGTACCTTATTGAAAATGAAATGGAAATACGTATATTTAAAGACAAAAGTCTGCTGCAAGAAGAAAAACTGTCTTTCTCCTGAACCTCCCAACATTCACCTTATTTGGGTGTCCGTGGGTTCTGGTGTTAGGCGAGACAGAGAAAGGACTTTCTCTCTCCAATTTCTCCATGACATGCCTAATTTTATAAACTTCTATCACGCTGCCTCTTCCTCAGCTTTCCTCTAAACTGCAGGCTCCATCCCTCTGATACTTTTTTGTGGTCCTTTTCTGACCCTTTCCTAACTGTAAAGGTAAAGGTAAAGGGACCCCTGACCATTAGGTCCAGTCGTGACCGACTCTGGGGTTGCGGCGCTCATCTCATTTTATTGGCCGAGGGAGCCAGCATACAGCTTCCGGGTCATGTGGCCAGCATGACTAAGCCGCTTCTGGCGAACCAGAGCAGCGCACGGAAACGCCGTTTACCTTCCCGCCGGAGCAATACCTATTTATCTACCTGCACTTTGATGTGCTTTTGAACTGCTAGGTGGGCAGGAGCAGGGAACGAGCAACGGGAGCTCACCCCGTCGCGGGGATTCGAACCGCCGACCTTCTGATCGGCAAGTCCTAGGCTCTGTGGTTTAACCCACAACGCCACCCGTGTTCCTAACTGTACAGCATCCTTTTTGAGGTGAGGCGGCCAGAACGCTACGCAGTGCATTGCAAGGGGTTTGACCAGGTGACTCTTTAGTTCCCTTCCAGCTGTACAATGCTATGATTCGATGATTCCCTATTTGTAGAGCAGCCTTATGTTAATTGGCGGTTTTGTTTTCAGATTCTTCCCTAATGATTCCTGGCAGGATGTGTGCCTTTTCACACAGCTGCTGCACTGGGCAGCCCTTTGAGCTGCCCTGGCAAAGAGGTCCAGACCACACCCCTTCTGCCTCCATCCAATCTCTCTCGCCCTCCCTGAGGACCCTCTGAGTCAGAGACCATTATCACCCTCTGCGCCAACAGGTGCCAATCATTTGTCGTGGGCAGAAGGACCTTCTGTTTTCGGCTGTCCTTTGGCAAGCAGTTGCAAAACTGCCTATCATTTGTTTTGTTTTTTGTAAATTTTATTTAACATAATTATTACAAAATATAAGCAAAATATTGCAAAGACATGCATACATATATATTTCAGATAAGCACACACATATAAAAAAGAACAAAAAAGAAAAAAGGAAGAAAAGAAAAAAAAGGAGAAAAAGAAGAAGAAAAGTTGGAAGAATTTCTTCCCAATTTATTCCACAGAGATCTCAATAATAAAATTTCATTGATTGACTTCCATCGCTTACACTGCACTTCCTATATACATTTTCAGCAAAATCGTATCTGTTATTCTGTATTTTCCCCCATACAATCTCATACAAATATTCTAACCGATAAGTTTTCTAAATCTTTCATAAACCTATTCTAAACACAACCAACACCTTACGTTTAATCTTTGTCTACATAAATAATCATTTAAACATTTCCATTGTTTCTGGAATATATTTTTTTTGGTGCAAAACCGTCTTATCATTTGCATAAGGTTGAGCCATCGCTGGGTGTCGGGGGCAGCCTGCTAATTGCTCTCCCTGCCCCTCTAAATCCAGTGGATCTCATCCAGCGGGCAGAGAGGGGGGCGGTTTGGCCCTGAAAGATGCCCACCCCGCTTGGCAGCAGAAGCTGGAGGAAGCTGTAGAAATTCTTGCCCTTCCCAGATTCGCAGGCCTGGGAGAGCCACAAGGCGTTTCTTCTTCAGGGTCTTTCCTTCTGGCCGTGCCAAAGGGCCCCCCCTCCCCGAACATCCCAGCCCCCAACCAGACAACCTCCACCCCGCCCCCAAGTGGCATGTTGCACCTGCTGGGGGCTGCAAGATGCTCAACGCACAAACACCATTCCAGGACTGGTATGCGCTGCAGACGGACCTTCTCTGCTTTATCCAAATGGAGGAGACCCCCTCTGCGCTGCTGACAGCTGCAGAGAAAGTGGGGCCCCAGCCACAGATGACACTGGTGGTAACTGGAACCCTGACAGATGCAATGGTGGGGGGTTGATCTCCTGCCACCCCTCCCTCCTTGGGCACGAGGGAATCCCCCCAGGGCGCGTCTGTTGGATTAGAACAGTGGACCGTGCGATTTCATGGAGGGCAAAGCTATTTGACGCCTGCCATTTTTAATTACCGCTCTCATCGTAGCATCAACAGGCTAGAGGAGGCAGCGGGGCGTAGTGGTTAGAGCAGCGGTTCTCGAACTTTTGTCCCTGGGCCACACTTTCAGAAGAAAAAAATGTCGCCGTCACACCAGTTTGTTTTACTGATAAGAAATGCGTTGGGAAACGCAACAGGGATTGTCCTCCCAAGAATCGTAGAATTGTGGAGTCAAAAGGGACCGCGAGGATCATCTAGTCCAACCCCCCAGCAATGCAGGTATCCGTTGCCCAACATGGGGCTCGAATCCTGCTCTACCAATGCCCTTGCTCTCATTTTGAGAAGGTATCTATGCCCTTTCTCTCATATTTGAGAAGGTATCTGCAAATAACAAAAAATATTTTGATAAAATACTGTACTGAAATGTTTAAATGTTTCTTGGATCATCCTGGA